CATGACATGATTCCCCTCTCCTCCCCCGACCCTTCCTTCCCTCGTGGCTGTGTTTTAGTTGGTTGTACTCTAACCAACTTACCTCAGTGCCGTCCGAGCTGGGTCGCCTGGGTGAGCTGAGGCGGTTGTGGCTGGACAGGAACCAGCTGACGTCACTACCGCGGGAGATAAGCGGGCTGACAAGGCTGCAGGTGGGGCGGGAGGAGGGGGAGGGGGGAAGGGGGGAGGGGGGGCCGCCTGGGAGGAGCACTCTCAGCACGTCAGCAAGCAGCTTGACCTTCCCGGAATTACTAAATGACCACCAGGTTATTTGCCGACAACAGGAAAGGACCGGTTTTAGCGAATTCAGTTCACTGTCGCTTTCGACGACATCTTGCGATACTCCTGCCTAATACCAGCTTGCCCTCCGCCGCCTTTAGCTTTGCTGCCTACCTCCGCGGCGGCTTTGCTTGCTTTTCTGCTTTCCATATGACTCCTGTACCTCATCATCGTCTCTAGGGGGCTAGGTAGTCGTTCGCTGAGCCTCAGCAGCCTTCTTCCCGTTTCGTAATCCACCTGCCCACGTTGTCGGGATGACCCGACCACACTCCCAAGGCGGCTCTACGGGTCGGTACTACTTTCATTCCTTGCCTTATTGGTCTTACCTTGCGGTGTGTCCACTAGCCATCTATCTATCTATCTATCTATCTATCTATCTATCTATCTATCTATCTATCTATCTATCTATCTATCTATCTATCTATCTATCTATCTATCTATGGTGTTTCCTCCCTCCCCCAATCGTCTGTGCTTCGTCGTATCTCCCTCCCTCCCTCCCTCCCTCCCTTCGCTCCCCACACCCCACCTCCCTACCCCCTTTCCCGCGTTCATGGTTCTTCTTCCCCCCCTTCCCCCCTCCCCCCCTCCCCCCCTCCCCCCCTCCCCCCCTCCCCCCCGTTCAGGAGCTGTATTTGGACCACAACCGGCTAGTGGAGCTGCCCTCGGAGCTGGGGGCACTGACGCAACTGAGGCGATTGTAAGCGGTGGGGTGCGGGTGGGGAGGTGGAGGGGGTTTTGGGAGGTGCAAATCCTGCCATCAGTATGTATGCATGTATGGGAAGCAGGACGTGTGTCTGTCTGTCTGTCTGTGTGTGCGTGTTTACCGGTCTGCCGCTTTTACCTTCACTCCTTACCAACCCTGTCCCCTCCCCCGCGCTGCTGCAGGTACCTCGAGGGCAATCCTGAGCTGCAGTCCCTCCCCCCACCGGTGGAGGCCCTGCCCTGCCTGGGGGAGAGTGTGGACTACGGGGCGGGCCAGGAGGGTTTCAAACAGGAGATGCAGTCGTACAAATGAATCTGGATCTAGCAGGGTAGGGAATGCGGGGTTATCTAGTCGGTCGGGGAAGGGGGGGAAAGGGCGGGGGCTGGGCGGGGCTGGCCCAGGGGTATCTCAGCACGATCGAAGGGGGGGGGGATGTACGGCAGGTCATGACGAGAGATCACAACACAACACAACCTTCCATTAGTGTGGGGGGCTCCGAGGGACTGGACTGGAGAGCGAGAGGATTGGAATCCGAGGACTGTGTTTTGGTCCTGAGGGGGTCCGAGGGGGAAGCCCCGGCCCCGGGAGCCCCGGGTACTTGTCTACCGTTGGAATGGATCGTCCGCGGGACAGCTTGGTTTGTACGGCATTGACTGGCTTCTCGGACTGGTTGGACTGATTTGTACGACATTTGAAGTATTTTTGTGTGACTGTCTGTATGTGGTAACAGACCGTGTGCGTGTATATATGTATGTATGTACATGCAAGTGCACACCGTGTGTGTGTGTGTGTGTTTTGTCCGGAGCTGTTCGGGTGGGGGGGGAGGAGGGGTAAAGATGCCCTAGGCGCTGTGTATTGTGCGGGCGTGCGTGGCTGGATAGGGCCATTGGTGGTCACGAATGGCTCCAGCACGGCGAATATTCACATGGGCTTCCAACTCCTACACATGTATGTATGTGTGTGTATGTATGTCCGCGAACTGATGTGCGCCATGTGTGTGCACTGCCGGGATGGGAGAGTGCGCGGGAGTGCGTTCGGAGGCAGAGGGATGTTGCAGAGACTGCTGCACTAAGGGCGAAGAGAGAGAGGGGTGATTCGGACCCCAGGGCCCCCCGGAAAGGTTGCCGTACTATGGAGCGAATCCGTACTTCGATAAACGGCATTTGACGGCATTGTTCCGGGAGTGGCCGCCCCGGAGGAGTGGAGAGGGGAGGAGGATTCCGGTACTTCGCGCTGCCCCCAATCCCCCCCGACACCCCGCCCCGCCCCCCCGCCCCACACAGACTACATAACCGGCTAATCAATAGGTGATGAGCAGTACTCACAACACACGCACACATACATACAGACATAAACATACGTACATACATACACACGCACGCGACACGTACATATGGTGAAGTGGATGGCAGCCAGGCGATGGGATCTGCTGTCTGTGTGGTCGGAGATAGTGGGGTGGTATGACCTTAGTGGTGATGGTGGCGGTGGTGGTGCTCCAACCGCCATGTTGAGTAGGGGGCCCCACCCCCCCGCGATGGTAATAACGGGGTGGTTAAGTACAGTTCAGATTGGGAGGGAGGGGGGGAGGGAGGGGGGGAGGTTGTATCGTCGCCCGGTGATGTTAGGGTGGTGAGGAGGGTGGGCGGGTGAGGCCGGGGGGTGTTGCCATTGATTCATGTTGATGTTGTTGTTGTTTCTAGGGTGGGGTTGGGGTTGGGGGTGTGCGCTGTTGAGACGCGGTGCTGGGGGGGCCTGGCGGTGGCGGTGGCGGTAGGACGTGGGTGTTAGTGCTTGTGGACAGCATGTATATGTATATATGTATACGTATGTATGTATGTACATGGAAATCTGATTTTGTTGGAACTCTGTGTTAAGTTCCAGTAACGAAGTCCAAGGTGCGCTGTCAATGGAGCGTTGACGGTCTGTGTCACCGCCGTCACCGCCGTGACCTCCCCCCGTTGTGTGATCCCCAACGTCATCGTCATCGTCATCGTGATGGTCAGTCACCATGAGACTTGTGTAAATAAAAGAGGGAAGGGGAGGGGAGGGTGTTTTGGATCTGGATCTCAGCATGCAACTAAGTTCGTGAGGCGAGTTATTTTACATTCGTAACGACTCTCATCCTGGGGGGTCTTGGGGGGCCGCCCGTGCATTGCCACTGTGAAGCAGCAGACCTAAAAAGTGGAAAATGGAGTTGTGTTCCCGGACCGGTTATGGCTCGGCGCAGCTATGGCCTGTATGTCTATAGATGAGATGTAAAGATGTAGTAGACGTGTACGTGAGATCTCTTGGCCACTTACCATTTCATTGTGTGTGTTGAAACCCCAGAGATCCCTCCCCCCGCCCCTCTGGGCATTTCGGCGAAGGAAGAGGCGCCATCGCCCCGACTGCTGCTCCGGCATCAACATCAGCATTTTTAGCACCGCTCGGTTAATCGCAGGACTCCGACATTCTGTGCGTAACTGAATGTTGGGTAGCATGCACCTGAAACTCAAAGGATGAGATTGTTACAAACTGCGTGGCTTCTGGGGTGATTGCATACACTTGGATGCTGGTTTAGAATTGAACACTAGATGACGACGCTTGACCTGCCTTTTAGTAAGTGTACGGCGTCGTTTGGCGGTTGCTCATCATTTGCTTGTTTCAGAATCCTCAGTGAGTATCCGAGTTGTTATGACCTTCGTTTTGTATATTCTACTGTCACATTTGTACATTATACCTTTGCGTTGGCTTTCCGAAATGCCTTGAAGTGTATGCAGAACGCTAAAGGGCGTCGCGGACATAGATTACTGCTTGATAGATACTTGCTTGATGAAGAGCCATGGCTGCTCGTGCGTTCTGCAGGCCTAAGGTCCAAACCCAAAAACCTTGTTCAGCGGCGGAAGCTTTAGAGGTTGTCCAGGACATTCTTACCAGCGGATCTCTTGGACTATCAGACGATTTGCGGGTGAACTTACATATCGTATCTGGGCAACTTGAGCTTCTCAAGGAGTTTGCCAACGAAAATTGCGATGGTGGGGCGGCCGACAGACGGAAGCTGGCGGCGACAACACCTGGCCCAGCCGCAACTTCACCAGGCTTCGCGGCGCAAAGCAGTAAAAGGGAGAAGCATCACAGCAAAGATGAGAAGGATGAAAAGCAGGGCACGCAGCGGCCGTTGACCGCTGAGAAAAAGCACAAGAAGGACGATGGGAAGGAGGGAAAAGAAGGGAAGGTGGGTCACAAAAAGGGGGACGGCAAGGAGGAGAGGAAGGAGGATGGCAAGGAGGGAGACGCGGGAACTGAGGGCAAGAAGGATAACGAAGGGAAGGAGGATAAGGAGCAGAAGGAGCGGAAGGAGGGGAAGGATAAGGAGAGGAAGGAGAGGAAGGATAAGGAGCGGAAGGAGGGGAAGGATAAGGAGAGGAAGGATAAGGAGCGGAAGGAGGGGAAGGATAAGGAGCGCAAGAGGCGGTCAGAAGACGTCGCGGACGGAGGTAAAGACACCGTCCAGAAGTCCAAGAAGCAGAAAGTAGCAGCATAGCTTTTAGGATAGTTAAGTGATGCTGGTGTGGTGGTGCTGGAGGCTGAGGGGGATCGTTCCAGATCCGTATTTTTAAGTTGCCGCGGGGTAACTGATGGACAGGACTATCGGACAGACTGACAAGCCGGCTGGCTGGCTGTGCCAAGCAAGTGGAAATTCCCTCTGGTCTCTGGGTCATTTTGCTTTTTAACCGTTACCACGTCTCTTGACTTTTGACTTGGTTTGTTTGCTCGTTTGCAAGCTGTGAATGACCATGCCTCAACCAGCCTCCACTCCGGGGTGGAATAACGCTGCTTGATGACGTTCTTGTAAAGCCGTAACTGACTAAGTCGCGGTGTTTCGTTCATCTCGTTGTGTGTTGTGTTACCAACTTGATTTGGTCTGCCCCCCTGTCAAAGCGCCTATGACGCGCACCGTTTGCGGCAGCGGTGGAGGTGCTGGTGGTGACTCCTCACCCTATCGGCATGCTGGCTTGTGAACAATCCATTTTTCGGCTCCAGCCCCAATGGAGCCTCTGTTTTCTTGCCGCTATCGCCTACAAACCGCTGACCTAACGAAATATTATGCTTATGAGCTGCTGGTGCCGTCCGCAATCGCGGACCCAGCTGACCGGGTGCTTCAGTGCTGACTAATCGTTGTTAATAAGTTTGAAAAGACGGCTGTGTGGATGTGGTGATGATGATGGTGATGGTGAGGGGACCGGGGCCTCTGCCCTGGAAAGGGGGGAAGGGTGTTTTGGTGGTATGGAGGCGGAGTTGGGGGGTGGCTCCTTCTTGCGCCTCTTTCTTATACACACACACGCACACGCGCACCGACGGCATCAGCTGTGAGCTCAATAATTCTCTACTTGGGCTGTGTGTCCAACAATCTCTGAGGGATGTGCTGAGGGGTGGGAGCTCTGTGTGCGTTTCGAGCGCTGTCATGAAAAGCCACCAAGTACACCCAGTCGTCCGTGTCCCAGCAGTGTGCGTCCCAGTCCGCTCTTGATCTCCTCTCGAGCTCTTTTAAAATATCTTTTTTCTTTTACTCAAAAGTACTCTCCTTCTCTGCGACGTGGGTGCGGTTTCGGGGGGCCCCTCCGCCTTTGGCGCCCCCCCCCACCAGAGGCCTGTCTGTCAGTGTGACCATTCCCCTTCATGCCTTGCCGCGTATCATCATCATCGTCATCATCGTCACGACCAGTGGAAACGTCAGTGCGCCGCCATAACATTGTTAGTTCAGTCCGTCTATCCGTGGAGTGCGTGTATGGCGACCCCGGGTTCTCCCCCCGTACACATACATACACATACACACACACTCGTAAATGGGAAATGCAGCAAGCGGCATCCATCTAGTTCTGACATCATGTACAAACTCTCTCTCTTCTTTGCGCCTCTCTTGGGCCAAGTAACGACATAGTGAGCCCGCGAATGCAAAAGGGGGCCCCCTACACATATAAAATCGTAGTGTTAGCAAGCGGCACGGAAGCCTCCCACTCTGTAACAATAAAAATCGATGCGGTCTTCAATCTTCAAGTTCAACACACTCTCAAGTTGTCGAATGTCTACCCTACCCGGGTAGGCGGACTGGGCGGTGCACAGTGCCGCGATTATCAACATCGCCCACGCCATTTTTTGGGCCAGGGCCCCAGCGCTTGCCTCGTCGCTTATTGTTCCAATAAGGCACCGATCCAACGGCAGCGGCAGCGGGAGTGGGAGTGGGAGCGGGAGGCAAACGTTTTCCCGACCGCTCTCTGCACAGTGAGTCAGCCCAGCAATTTGCGCACATGTGGCCGCTAAGCAATGGGCCTGTACAGATTAAGTGGGCCTTCCGCCCCTTCTCCGGCTTCCAGAAAGCCAACACAGCCTTGTCACAGCCTTCTTGACAACTAGCGCATCGCCCGGCGCCGTTTACACACGCCAACAAAACATAGTACAATAGAATCCCCCCGTGTCGGGATGTGGCTCATGATGATGATGATGGGGCCCCTCCGGTGCCGCCACCCTCATGCCACCGTCTACCTCGTGCAAACCGAATTCGTTCTGAACTTCCCTTCTCCGGGCTGGGCTGGGCTGGGCTGGGCTGGGCTGGGGTAAATCATTCCGCACCCGCATATCACAACGAACACTGCCCTCTGAGACCACCCTGCGCCCATGTCAGTCGAACGAGCTGCCGCGTGTGCCGTACACACAGCTCGCATACTGGTTGTGGGTGGTGATGGCAATGATGGACGATGTCTATGAATATAATGATGGTTGATGGTGGCGGTGGTGGTGGCCATCCCACCCCCCTCCGCTTCAAAAAGCATCTATTGGGACTCGAGCAGCTGTCCAACCACCTGGCCTCCGGCCTCTGCCTCATATACACCACCCCCTTTAATGTAACGCGCTCCCTCTTTCCCCTCCCCCCTAACCCCCCTAACCCCCACCCGCCCATCCACTCCCCCACCCGCCCACACAAGGGAAAGCTGGTGGAAAACCCTAGTGGCCATCCGAGTACAGACAGCCTTAATCGCTTGGTGCCTTCCCTGTACATTTCAAACTCTCTGCCGTACATAATTGTACGAATCCGTTCCAAATAAAATCCCGTATAAATCTACCCTTCGGTGTACTTGCTATCTGCCGCCGCTTCACCCGCCGCCGGCACCGCCGGCGCTTCACCCACCATCTGCCGGCGGCGGCTGGCCCCGTCCCACCCCTCCGAGGTACGGATCCCCCTCGAACAGCCTCAGTGCCCCCGGTAGCAACCCGCCGGCCGCCCCTCCGCCAGCGCCCACCTCCAGAGCCCCGTCCGCCACCACCACCACCCGACGCTGTTGCTGCTGCTGCCGTTGTTGTTGTTGTTGCTGCTGCTGCTGCTGCTGCTGTCGTACACCTACAATGGAATACAACGCCAGGCGCAAGACACGCGCGCCACACGAAGACCGTTAGTGTCGATTGGGGCTCCGCGGGGGCGTTGTTTTGGGGTCCCGGGGGGGGGAGGGGAGAGACGAGAGATGCGGCATAGCGTAGCTGGTGGGGCGCTGGTTGCAATGAGCTTGTGCCCCCAACCACCCTCCTGTCGCTAACGCCGCCGCCGGCGCATTGCCGCCGCCGTTTTTGGTAAATGACGCCCCCCCGCGCTGAGGCCCTCCCCCAACACTCCGTCCACACAATGCCAGCCGACAGACTCGTTCCCCCCCTCGGCAAGGGGACAAGGGGGCAGAGCGAACTCGCCCCCCCCCATCGAGCACGCACGCACGCGCGACACAACACAGGACGTCATCCGTGTACACACAGCTTCAAATTCCCACCAGGACGTGGGCGACGTCCCCTGCTAGCGCCGGGAAAAGGTAATTCACGCACTCGTACACGTACACGTATTCGTACATGTCATACCCCTACCTGCAGTGCCCATCCGCGCCAGACTGCCCGCCACTGAAGCTGCTGCTACAGGAGGCGGAGGCGGCACCAGGCCCGAGATGCCAGGCGGTGGCGGCATGGCCTTGGTGGCGGTGGCGGTGGTGGTGGTGGTGGCGGGGGTGGCACCGGCCCTGCCGTCTGCATGAGAGACCTGACCCCCCCCTCCTCCTCGACCAAGTGTACCATCAGTGCTTAGAGGGTGCGTGGGTGCCGCTGCTGGGGGGTGTTGCGCCGGGGGGGCTTGGGGTGGGGCCCAGGGGTTCAGCAGCCCGCGGAGGCCACCGCCGCCACCGCTGCCGCCGCAGGCATCACCAATGCCGCCGCCGTCGTGAGAGTCGGCGTCGCCTAGGAGACTCCTGCTCCTCGACCCTGTGTAGCCATCTGCCATGCGGTGCTGCACTGGGAGTGCGGCGGCAGCGCCACCGCCACCGCCGCTGCCCCTTTTCCGTACACCCACTGCTGCGGCCTCTGCGGCAGCTGCGACGCTCGTTCGGCCGTCTCTGCGTTCAAACATCGATCATCGCATCGCATAGAGGCCGCGCTTGTCCGCATTGGAAAAAGACGCGAAGGTAAAGCGTAAACATGCATGAACATGTATGCACATGTATGAAATATAGGTTATTGAGTAAACATCATTTTGATTCGTGTCATCCCAGTTCCAGGTGTACAACTGCGAGGTCCTATGGCTTAACGGATAAAGCGCCGGTCTACGGAACCGGAGATTCCAGGTTCGATCCCTGGTAGGATCGGATCGAGTATTAAAATATTGCTCATTATGGCATAGGTTTTTGGTTATCGGATTTCGAAAGGGTCGAACTGCTTCCGACGTTAAATGGTAATGGTGCCCCTAGTCGACGGACAACGGAGAACTTCCACCGGAAATATGGCCTCCCTGCTCCACACACATCATACATACATGCATATTCTTAACAAAGCTTGACTAGGGCATACCTCAATCGACGAAGCAAGCTGTTGCTTTCGCCGCTATGTCGGCAGAGTAGAGCGCCCATCCCCCTTCCCGTCCCTGAAGCAGCCGCCAGAGCACCACCACCACCACCTCCACCACCGGCAGTAGCGCCGCCGCCGCCGCCGCCGCCGCCGCCGCCACCCTGTGTTGCGGCAGCGGCGGCCCGGCTTCCCTCCACGTTCTCCCCCCCCACGTCGACCCCCACATCAGAGACCACCACCGCCCGCTGTGACCCAACATTCGACAGCCGGTGCTGCCCCCCTTGCTGCTGCTGCCCCAGCAGCGGGTGTTGTTGTTGTTGTTGTTGTTGTTGTTGTTGATGGTGGTGGTGGTCATTGTGCTGCTGATGCTGTTGGCGATGCGGTTGTAGCTGATTCTGCAACAGCGGCGCGAACAGACGAAAGGGCGAGGCGCCAAGCGGTGTTGATCTCCCCGCATCCCCTTCCGGTGACTCATCCTGTTCCCCCCCCGCCGCCACCGCCGCCACCAAAGGCCGCACTGTGTACGGCAGTTTGGCCGCCGGTTCAGGACTGTACAGCGGCTGGGGGTGCCGCTGAGCCCGAGGGACCGCCGTCGCCGCAGCTGGCGCCGCTGCCGCCGTCGTCGCCGTTACGGAACCGCTGCCGCTGCCGTTGCCTCGGCGTGTGGTCCCGCCAGCCGCAGCTTCCCCCACATCGTGCTCTCGCCTCCGCTGGTGTACGACAAGTGCCGCGTCGTCAAAGGTCACCCGGCGCGCTCGCTTCGCGGCAGGTAGCAGTAGCTCTGGCTGCCGTGCTACCGCCGCCGCTGCGGGCTGTTGCTGCTGGTGTTGGTGTTGCTGCTGGTGTTGGTGTTGCTGCTGGTGTTGCTGCTGGTGTTGGTGTTGCTGCTGGTGTTGGTGTTGCTGCTGGTGTTGGTGTTGCTGCTGGTGTTGGTGTTGCTGCTGGTGTTGGTGTTGCTGCTGGTGTTGGTGTTGCGTGGCTGGCCGCTTCAGCGGCTGCTCCAGCGCTACTTGTTGTTCTTCGCCCGGAGCCGCCGTCGCCGCTTTCAGTGAGGACTTCAAGGCGCCCTGGACCATCTCCGCGCCCGCGAACAGCGGCCGCTTGCGAGCTGTCGTACTCCTACCACGGCTGGCCTCCGCCGCCGCTGCTGCAGAGGCTGCGGCGGTGATGCCGCCTCCGGCCGCTGCCGTACCCGCCGTTGTTGTCACATCTGCTGCTGCCGTACGTCCTCCCAGCGGCGGCTGCTTTGTGTTGGCGGCGGTTCCCACAGCACACTGACCACGTCTCGCCGTGTTCTCCTGAGGCCCTCCCCCCCCAGGCGCATCCAGCTGGTGCGACACACGAGGCCCCTCCGCGTCCCTTTTTGGGGCGTCCGCCGGCGGCCGTCTTTCACCGCCGCCTCCGTCCTCGGTGCCACGGAACGGCAGCCCGCCTCGCGCCTCCTGCCGCCAGCCGGCCCTCGACTGAGGTTGCGATGACGGAGAGCCCTCGAGTTGATATCCGGCGGGCGGTGGCTCGGCATCGGACTGCTCAGCGCCGCCGCCGCCGCTGGCGGCGGCGGTGCCGATGCCGCTGAAACCGCGAGTGACGGTGCTGACGGTGGGCGACATGTACTCCGCTGCCCAGGAGGACCGGCTGTGGCGCCGTACGGCAGGGCTCCAGGCAGACGAGGCGTCGGCGGTGGCGGCGGCGCCGTCCTCAACGTCGACGTACACTTCCCGGTGCACCTCCCGAGCACCGCCACCCCGCATCGCCGCTGCCGCTGCAGTTGCCGCACCATCGTCCGCCGCCTTCGCCGCCTCCGCGTCGGCCCTGAAGTGGGTTTGCGGCGGTGGCGGCGGCGGCCGGGGCGGCAGGTTGTGCATCCGCGACGCCGCCGCCGCCGCCGTTGCATTGCTGATTACCTCGGAGGCCGCCGGCTGGGCTCCGACGTCGGGGACTGCGCCTCGCTCCCTGGAGTGTGGAGGACCCGGACGCTGCCGCCACTGCAGCCGCTGCGGCGGCAGCTGCCCATGCTGGTGCTGGTGCACGTGTTGTGGGTGCGGTAGCGGGTGCGGCTCGGGAGGTCTGGTAATATGGTTGGAGTAACCGCCAGACGAGACAGCCGCGCTGTCCTGGACGCCATCGGGAGCGTACTCCATGTACGGCATGTGCAAGTGCTGTCCGTACGGCGCGTACGGCGTGGCGTGCGGCATTGCAGGGTAAGTCATGCCGTGCATTGGCGCATATCCAGGCGGCGGCGCGTGCGGATGCGCTCGGGTGTGCGGGTGGGGGGGGATCTGCGGGTGCTGGGCCGCATGAGTGTGGGGGTGTATGTGGCTGTGGTAATCTGCGGGGTAGAAGGCACCTCCATAAGTGTTGTACGACGTGTAAGGATTGAAGGTCATGGCGCTGGCGCCGTGGGGATCCTGGTCTGGTCCCGGAGGGTTTGGGTTGAGCGTTTGGTTGTCGCGATGGTGCTGCTGCTGTTGGTACGGTGGCGGCGGTGGCGGCGGTGGCGGCGGCGGCGGCGGCGGCGGCGCAGGAAACTGTGGCGGCGCAGGAAACTGCGGCTGCTGTGCGGGGTGCAGCGGCGGGGGCCCAGAGTGTGCTTGCAGCTGCGGCGTACTCGCCAGCGGTCGTACCGTGCCCGTCATGCCATCAGATCCTCTGTACGGCATTGCCGCCGCTGTCGCGGGAATCTCTCCCGGCTGCGCAGATGGCGCCTTCTGGGCTCCCGCTACAGCATCGTCCGGCTGGTTGTACGGCACAGCGTGGATGTCCTTCTCCACCTCACGCACAGCAGTCGTTGCTGCTGGTACTGCGGGTGCCCGACCTTGGCCAGCTCCCACCTCCCCCCTAACCCCCCGCACCTCCGCTCCCAGTCCCGGACCCGGCGCACCCGGGTGGCACCGGGGGATCTTGGCGCCAGGCTGTGGTGCCTCCTGTGCTCCTTCCTCCACAGCGCCGCCAGCGCCGTTGCCGCTTCCCTCGCCACCGTTGCCGCAACCGGCGTCCAGTCCGTCCCACCTCGCTGAACCGGGCTGGCCAGCCGGCGTCGCCGTCGCCGTCGCCGTCGTCGTCGTGAGTCCTAGAATCTCAATCAAGCCCTGCCGTACGGTTCCCACGCCCAGGGCCCCTAGATCCGCACCCGTACTGGAGGACAGTGCCCGCAGTAGCAGAGCCACCACGTCCTGTTGTGGCTGTAGCTGTGATAGCGCTTGGTGCTTTTGGCTAAGCGCCACCTCTGGCGGCGGCGGCGGCGGCGGCGGAGACGGCACTCTTGCGTCACCGTCGCCAGACGCTGCCTCAGGCGCTCGTACCTGCTGGCGGTGTTCGGCATGCTGCCGCAGAGGCGGGAGCTTGGTGCTGACGTCAGCAGTGGCGACGCCAACACCATCAGGTGCTACGGCTGCTACTTCTGCCGTACGATGGCCCTGGAGAGATGTGCCGCCAGCGTTAACCGCTCCGGTGTTGGTACCAGCTGTGCTGGTCGCGGGCGCTGAGGCGGCGGCGCCGCTAGTTGCGAAACCCACACTTGGAGCCCCACCGCCGCCGCCGCTGCCGCTACAGCCGCCGCTGCCGCCAGAGTTCCCGTCGTGCCTGTCTCCCTCCTCTGCCCGCCCTCCCCGCCGCCACCCAGCCAAACTAACTGCCGAGCCCGCCCTGCCGCTGCTCCCCCCGCTACCTCCCGTTCCGCGCTGCCGGCGGCTGGCGACGTCGGGGTTGTCGTACATCGAAATCCGTGCGTCCGTACCGACGACGGCCGCCTCCGCCAACCCTTCTACCTGCGAACCGCCTCCGTCAGCTGCAGCGTGCGCATCACCAGCCCCATCACCGTTACCAGCCTGCTGGGTCTGCTGGGCAACACCTAGCGACACTGAATCCATTGATGCGCCTCCTTGCTGCTGCTGCTGCGGCTGCTGCTGCTGCTGTTGTTGCCGGTCTGGCCGGGCCCTAGCCGCCCGGAGGCCCTGTCCAAAGGAGAAGGTGGCGGCCGCGCCGTCGCTGTATTCCTCCTCCTGGGTCCCCTCTTGCACCTCCGCTTGCCGGACCGCCTTCTGCTGCTGCTGCGGCTGCGGCTGCCACCCTCCTCCTCCTCCTCCTCCGCGGGCAGTTTCCTCTCCACGCCCTAAAGGGAATGAAAAGTTGCCTGCGGCGCCCGTTTCTCCGTGGTCTTGGTGTTGCTGCTGCTGCCCATGATGCTGCTGCCCATGCTGCTGCTGCTGGTGTTGGTGACTGTGGCGGTAATCGTGGTGGTGTTGCTGGGTAGGTTGTGGTTGAAGTTGGGGATGCTCCCCTCCCTCCTGGCGCGCTCCTGGCGCCTGAGGGTAGCACTGCTGCGGATGATGCGGAGGCAATTGCAGCGCTGGCTCCTGGCCCCGTTGCGGTGGCGGAGTGTGCGACTGTCGTTGCGTCTGTCGTTGCGGCGGCTGAGGGCTCGGTTGCTGCTGGCTTGCATTTGGAATGTGCCCTGCATATGGATGCGCAGGGAGCGGAGTAGAGGGCCGTGACGCGGGGAAATCCCCATCTCCACCTGCACCTCCACCTCCACCTTGCCGTGTGTGTGGGTGCGGCGGCGGCGGTGGCGGTGGCGCTGCCGTCGCTTGTGCAGCGGCGGCCTGATGTATCTGTGGCTGTGGCTGTTGCTGTGGCGGGTGAAGGTGAGGGTGAGGGTGAGGGTGGGGGTGAGGGTGGGGGTGAGGGTGGGGGTGAGGGTGGGGCTGCAGCGATGTCTGTCCGCCTGGTCCCCTGACATGCCCTTTCTGTATCCCAGCATGTCCCGTCTCTGACTGCTGCAGTTGCTGCTGCTGCTGATGCTGGGGCGGCGGCGGCGGCACATGTCGCAAGGGTGGCACGGTCCCCAATGGGGGGACAGGCCCTATGGCCTCCACCGATACGGGCTCCTGCTCCTGCTGCTGCTGCTGCTGCTGCTGCTGCGGGCCAGAGGGGTCCACATCCCGCCGTCGCTGAGGCGACCCCTGGGGGGCGCAGCCGTGACTCTGAGCCGCTGCTGACGCTGCGCCTGCAGGTGCACCCGCCTGCGCCCGCCGTTCCCCCACCGTCCCTTCCTCCGTCCCGCGCCGCCCACCGCCCGCCTGCTGCTGACACGCCGATGCACCGCCCCATGGGTCCAAGGACTTGAGGAGTTGTACGACGAGGCCGGATGATAATCCGGCGGGCAGGCCAGGCGAGACGCGGAGGACCTCCGGCCCATGGGTCGGACCCGCTGGCTTCGGTGGTGGCGGCGGCGGCGCCTGCTGGCGCGTCTGCTTAGGCCCTGATCCCAGCCGCTGTCTGAAGGCCAGATCACGGGCGGCGTACTGCAGCACCAGATCTGCATCACCCAATGACTCCAGGCGGGGACTGTCCGCGAAGAACTCCTCAGGTGACAGACCGCTGGGAGGAAGAAGGTGACGGGCTGGGGCGGACGAGGTGGCGGCGGACGAGCCGCCGGCCGCCACCGGCGCCGCCCCCTCGTGGCCCAGGGTACCTTCTGCCGTTACCGCGCGGCGAAGCAACAAGTCAGCGGCTGGCGCCCGTCGGTGCGACGGGGCGCCGTCGTCGTCGCCGTCGCCGTCGTCGCCGTCGTCGCCGTCGTCGCCGTCAACGTCATCACGCTCAGGGCCGGTCGTAAGGTCTTCCCCCTCCTCCATCCCCTCCGGGCAGGGAGGTGTTAGAGCCGTGGGGCTGTCCTGCAAGCTCCCCCCGGGATTGGGTTCTTCCTCCTCCCGCTCCGCCGCCGCCGCCACCTCCCGGCCAGGTGGTTTTAGAGCTGACGGTGCAAAGGCTGCTGCTGCCCGTGATATGTCCCTCGTATCGTCGTTGCCACGCTTGGCAGCTGTAGCATCGGCGGCGCCGTTGCCACGCCGGGCCCGCCATGGCCGATTACTATTACCATGTTTCATGGGCTCCAGAAAACCGCCACCAAACACCTCCTCCCTACCGCTACCGCTACCGCTACCGCTACCGGCCCCCGGGCCCTGGCGGCGACCGACTCCTGGTTCCGTACCACTCGCCGCCTCTGTTACAGAGCCGCCGTCGGCGCCGCCGACACTGACAGTGGCGGAGCCGGCCGCCTCCGTCAGCCTGGCTGCGGCAGCCGCAGCGTCGCCGGCGCCCGTAACGGCGTCGGACGTACCTGTGCCCCCCGCCGCCGCCGCCCCCGCCGTTGCAGCCAGTGATGATATTAGGATGGGCCGCAACGGCTGTAATCCCCTGCTGCTACTGCCAGGAACCCTGACGGGGGCCCTGACCGTCGGCCCCTGTCCTTCGTAATGACCGCCGTCGCCGCCGCCGCCGCCGCCATCGTCATCACCATTACCATCATCGCTGCGGCCATTGCCATCATCGCGCTCTTCAGCCGATGGCGTCATCCAGCCGCCGACATGCGAAGACCGACAAGGGGGTACAGCGGGGGTGTGGTGTGTTATCGACTTGCGTCCGCGGTCCCGGTCGGAGACACAAACATTTCACATGTATCCACACATGCACACGTCCATAAACCAGCACCACCCCGCCTTATCCTGCAACCGCAAAAATCTGGCCCCTCGCCCTCCCCCTCGCTCTTTTGGCACCCTTCCCTCCACCCTCCGGGGACAACTACGGACAACGCCGTCCTCCTTCGGCAATACACTACCTGGAGCAGTCTGTTGGGTTGTTAAGTGTCGACGATAGATGTACAGCAACCCAGTCCCGGCTCTATCCTCGACAGTGGCGGCGGTGTCATGGCGGGACGAGCGACCGCGACTTAACCGCAGCCCCGCGTCGCCATCGCCACCGGTCTGTCTAGCAGCGGACGCCGCGGCGACGGCAGCTGCCGCCGGCGCATCGGATGCGGTCCTCCTCCTTTCCCCCGTGGACAACGCGGCTGCGGCTGTTCCTGCGGCTGCATCTGCCGCTGCGCCGGCTGCATCTGCCGCTGCGCCGGCTGCATCTGCCGCTGCGCCGGCTGCATCTGCCGCTGCCGCAGCCGTCAGCGGTTCCGGAGCGTGATGTGCTATCCCGTTGTCGCCGCCGCCGCACCCTGTCGACAAGGATACCCGGGCCCCTGACGCCCCCCGGTGAGCCCAACCGCCCAACAACCTGGTGAACAGAGCTCGCACCTGCGTGCACGTGTATGCATGTATGTATGTCCGTATGTATGGCAGCCCTTCAGATTGGCTGTAGCAAGGGTTTCAGCGGCTCAGGAGTCAGGATTCATTCAGACCTCGCCGCCGCAGGGCAGCAAGGTACGCGCAGTCACGTGATGTACGGCACGCACACAGCGAAAATTGTTGTCGCTGACGTGTGTCACGTGTGTCAATGCCGCCTCAATACCCGTACTCCCGCACCCGCCCCTGCACGACACAAAATTTCCCAACTAAAATTTCCCTAAAACCCTAATGCCTTTTCTCAACATTACAATGGAACGCCGAGCCTCCTCACCTTATCCCTCTCCAGTATCGCCCGCGCCCGTCGCGCCTCATCCAGATGCAAGCTGAAGCCCCCGAAGCCGTCGTCACCCTCCTCACCCTCTTCCTCCTCTTCCTCCTCCTCCTCCTCCTCCTCCTCCCCATCCTCCTTCGAGGCGGCAGCCCCACTTCTTTGCGAGGAGAAGTCCATACGCGGGCTCGCCTCACCATCCGCATCCATATCCACACACGCTGGCTCCTCCTCCCCCCTGCCCTCATCCTCCATCACCTGCTCCTGCTGCCGTTCAGGGCCACCGGGCCCTGCCAGATCCGGAACCTCAGGGCCTGGCACCTGCAGCTCCGGAACCACTTCCGCTGCCGCCAGCACACTGACCAGACGTGCTAAAGGGGCGCAGGCGGCCGTTTCCCAAAGAGCGCCTGTGACAGCACCACCACCACCACCACCACCACCACCACCAACAGCAGCAGCGGCAGCAGCAGCAGCAGCAGCAGCTCGTATGGTATCGCCAGGAGCAGCAGCGACCACCCGTCCAAACCGCTCCGGAACCCTTTCCAACACGTGGCCACTCCGCCAGGGCGAATGTACGGCTGCAGTTCCCACAACTGCCTCATCCCTTGCCTCCACTTCCCCCGCTAGTTCCTCCACGACCATATCGGCCGGCCGCGATGGTGTCACCGCATTTCGGAGCGCACCTGGGGCATTGGCGGTGACCTCAAGCACCATCCGGGGGCTCACGGCCGCCGCAGCCGCCGCCGCCGCCATCGCTATTGAAGTGCCCTCCATCACCTGCGCCGCCGCCACCGAAGCGGATTTCCTCGCCGGCGCGTGCACCGCTGCCGCTTCGGTCATCACTGCCTCTGTCACCACTGCGGCCCCCATCGCCGGTGTTGGCGCCACCGCCGCCGTGGCCATCGTCACCACTCCGGTCGCAGTTGGCTCCGCCTCCTCAGTCACGGGGCCCCCTCCAGCACACAGCATGCCTTGCCCTGCTCTTAGCACTGGTGCTGGTGCCGGTGGTGCTGGTGGTCCTTGCCCTGGTGGTGCTGGTGCCGGTGCTGGTGCTGGTGCCGGTGCTGGTGGCGATGCCGGTGCTGTTGGTGCCGTTGGTGCCGGTGCCGTTGGTGCCGTTGGTGCTGCTGTCCAGGAGGGTACCTCCACCCCCCCTGCACCGGCCTGGGCAGGTCCAGCAGGTGCTGCGGGCTTCCGCACACTGGGGGGCCTCATCCGCCTCACCCTCGGCAGCCGCTCATCCGTGTCTGTCCGGCGGCCCCCAGCGGGACTACTGCCGTGCTGGTGGTCAAGGTCTCCACCTCCCTGCTCCGCCGGAGGTGGTCCCGAGGGTCGCCGCGCGGGGCTCACAAATAGGGAGGGATGCGGTTGTTGTTGCGGTTGTTGTTGCGGTTGTTGTTGCGGTTGTTGTTGCGGTTGCTGTTGCGGTTGTTGTTGCGGTTGTTGTTGCGGTTGCTGTTGCGGTTGTTGTTGCGGTTGATGTGGTTTAAGCCCTTCGGGGTGTTGCCGTGCCGGTGGGCCACCATGGAGACGATGGGGGCAAGTTGAAGGATGTTGAGCTTCTGGTAAGACAGCTGCGGGGCTCTGCTTAGGCAATGTCGGCCGCGGGGGTTGCTGTTGCTCCTGTGCTTGTACCTGCTGCAGCTGATGCAGCTGGTGCTGTTTTTCTACGGTATTACGCTGCAGAACCAGCGGCGATGGCGGCGCTTCGGATGTAGATGTGGTGACCTGACGCGCAGGCGGCAGCTGCGGTGGCGGTGGCGCCGGCAGTGACCCGGTGCGCGGTACGGTGGGTCTCTCATCCGTGGCATCATGTGGAGATGGAGGTAGAGATGATGCCCCCACCCCGGTCAGCGGGCGCGCCGCCGTTGGCGCCAAGGGAGAAGAGCCGGCGGGGCGGGGCCGCTTCAGCGGCCTGCCGTCAATGCCTTCGCCGTTGCCGTCAACGCCAACTGCGGCGACGGCAACACCTGCTGACCGCCGCTGCTGCATGGGCTGCTGCCGCCGCCGCCGTTGCCGCTGACGCCCGCGCTGCGCTCCACCCTCAACCGCCGTCCCCTTCTCCTTCTCCTTCTCTCGCACCGGTTGCTTATCTGATACGATACCGGAACGCACAGCCCACGGCCGCGGCGGTGGCGGCGCCGCCGCTGCCGCTACCTCCGGCTCCGTAAGTCCCCCTGAGCACCGCGGGACCTTCTCCTCCTCCTCATGCTGACGCCCCAACCCACCACGTCCACGCATCATCCCATGTGCGACATGCATATCGTCACGTTCTCGTACAATGCTCCGGCGACCGCCGCTGCCGTCGCCGCCATCATCAGCCTGCTGCCGCTGAGCCGCCGCCGCGGTGTCGGCGGCGGCGTCTGCCGCCGCCCACTCCGCCAGCAGATCCTCCGCCGGACTCACCACGTAAAACCGGGGGGTCTGCTGCAGCCTCAGCCTTACCTTCCCGCAGCAGACCGCCTCGTGCAGCGTCAGCATCACCGCCGCCGCCTGAGCCACCACCTCAGGTGTAGCCCAACGTGGCAGTACGACACTGCAGCGAAGGCCCAGTACGAGCTCCAGTAGCCGCTGCAGGCTCATGTAAGGCCCGTCGGGAACTGCTCGGCACGGGGGGCCCGACGGGGCCAGGGACAATTCAGGAAACTGGCATGTTCGTGGCTGTGTTCATTGTTTAGGTTGACGGGGCGGAGGATGGACGGTTCGGTTGTGCTCCACCCCCCCCCCTGTGGGGGCCCCCCTTTGCCCGGACGGAGGGTAGACCTCCGTGCACAATAGAGAATATCCTCCAGCAAGGCGCAATGCCCCCAGCCCGTTCCCGCTCCCAGGGAAGCACGTAGCTGCTGTTCATGCGACAACCCTATCCGCCCATGCAATACCCGCGAGGCGGCACACGCACCTTTCTGTAGCAGCAACTCGTGAGCCTGAGCACCTAAATCCCCGCGGCCTCGCGGAGTCCTACCAGCGTCGGCAGCTCTCACCAAAGCCTGAAGGCCCGGCTGCCGCAAGGTTGCAGCGGCGCCGGTCCGCGGGTCGGTCGCCGCCGCTGCCGACGGCTGCTCCGCCGCCGCCGCAGGCGACGCCGGCCGCTGCGCCACCGCCGCCGGTGCTCCCGGCCGTTCCATCGCCGCCACAGGGTCCCCCAGACGGCTTGCAGCCGCCGCCGCCGCCGCTGTCACTGGTTCCGTTGACCGCTCCACAGCTGGTGGCGGTTGCCGCGGACCCGCCGAGCTACGTCGGGCTACCGCTTGATGTCCATCGCTCGACGGCGGCCGCGCTGTCTTTCCCCTGGGTCGGCTCCCAACGGTACCGGGGAGCCGCTCCCCGGCGCCTGCAGCTACCGCTGATGGCCCCGGGACGGGCGGCCCCGCATGTCCGGTACCCGCAACACGGCCGCGTGTAGTAGCAGCGGCAGCAGCAGCAGGAGGAGCAGCTGCCGCTGCCGCCGCATCCGTAGAATTACCGGCTTGTACGGCTACTGCTGCCCGAGGACCCTCCTCCGCGTACTCTTTTTCTGGAGGCTGCTGAGCCCTGTGATGGGGCTGGGGCTGGGGCTGGGGCTGGGGCCCTGTTTGCGGGGCCACCGCACTTGACCGACAACCCTGAGGACCTGCTTCGCTGTCGGCTACCTCCCGACCTCTCGCGACTGCTGTGGCGGCAGTGGCCGCGGCGGCGCCGACGGAGGACGCTGGAGATCGGACGGGGGAGGATCGGAGGCCTACATTGTTTGTAGTACTCGTCTGTGGTGGCGGCAACTGCGGCGGCGGCGGTAGGGTGCAAGCCACAGAGTGCCCGTGAGTCACCGTGGCGGCGGCATGCAGGCGGCACGTCCGCTTCACCCGGCGATCCGCGTCACCGCTGGCGTACGAATCCACTGCACTCTGCGGGTCTGAAGCTACAGCTGCAATGGCTGCAACGGCAGCGGCGCCGGCCGCCGCCGCCGCCACTCCCCCAGCCGCTGCTGTGCTGAGGCGCCGCCGCCGCACGCGGCGCTGCTCCGACGTCGCCGCAGAGGCCGTAGCACCTGCAGCAGTAGCAGTAGCAGCAGCTGGATCGCCCATAACAGTAGCAGTAGCAGCAGCTGGGTCGGCTGTAGGCGCTGCTGCAAGGTCTGGTCTGCCGCTAGGCCCATCGCCGTCGCGGCTCCTCTGCCCCAGGTCCACTGACGCCGACGGCGCTGCGTCCGCGAGGCTCCGCTTCCGGTGCCCACCAGGGTGGTTCTGGAGCTGTGCTCCCGTACATGGGCTCTTGCAGCCCGGACGCTGGGCTGTTCCACCACGCTGCGCCACATCAACCACGTTCTGGAGCAACGGTTCGGTCCCTGAGGTTTCAAGTCTCCACTGCACGGTTGCGCCCTTGTCCTGTGGTGGCGCGATGGGCACATGGTCCCGGAGAGACTGGTACTCCGAGGCGGCTGGCGGCTGGCCGTCAGCGCCGCCGCCGGGTACGACAGAATCCCGTTTCTGGAGCTGCCCTTGAGGACCCGCCGCCGTGCCAGGGGACTCTGGCTCGTTGTTCATGGCTGCTGCCGGCGCGAACGGCTGCGTGACTTCCTTCGCAGCTTTGGCAAGAAAGGTATATTCTTCGTGCTTGTCTGTTGCTGCTGCCCCTGCTAAGGGTGGCTGTGCGGCGGCCGCCGCCGGGCCGCCTGCAGGCCTGAGCAGGCCGTCCGCTGAACGAGCCAACACCTCCGCCACTGACGTTAGTGGTGCTGCCGCAGGTGCCGCAGCCTCTGGTGCACCCCCCTGGCATCCAACTTCCTTGTATTGGACTCCAAACCTAACACCTTTGCCACTGACGTCGCCCGTGCCGTATTCTGCCGTTGATGCAGCTCCCGGGGTAATCTCACCAGCAGACGAGGTAGCGCAAGCAGCAGGTGTGTTAGCCGCGTGACCTCTACTGGGTGTAGTCCTCCCTTGGCCGAACGCACCTGCATCTGCTAATGATGGTGATGGTGATGGTGATGGTGACGGTGGCTGTTGCATTTCATGCAGCTGCTGCGGTGATGGTACGGCAGACGCCGGTCGGGGTATTACCGGCGCGGCAGCATGTGAGGACAGTGGGGTTGGGGGGCCTGTGGCGGCTGTGGCAGCTGCCCCCGCACCACCAGGTGAACGGGCTATGGCAACCCGCAGGACCGTGTGGGCGCCCTTTTCTACGGCGGCGGCGGCGGCGGCGGCGGAGGGGGCGGAGGGGGCTGAGTCTGCGGGTGTTTTAGAAGGGGCCTCGCGCTCTGATCCCTCTACTGGTGCTGCTGGCGAGCCATCAAGTTGGCGGACAGGGCGGACAGCGCGAAATGCCGAGGCAGCTATGGCCGCGGCATCAGACCGTTCAGCGCCCGCACGTTGTACCTGTCGTACTGCAGCCGCTGCCAGTGTAGCAGCTGTAGCTTGGTCGGCCACATGGCTTGCAACAGTAGCTGCTCTAGGTTCCATTGCTACTGCAGCATTTTCTCCTGCCGCCGCGTCAGCTGCTGAAGTTGCGGCAGGTGCTGCGGCACCTTTTGTCCTTTCGCCCCCGACCCCCAAGACCCTGTCCGCCGAGTCGAAGGCGTCAGCGCCCGACGGGCTGTGGGGCTCCCGGACCCCTTCCCAGCTGCCGCCGCCGCCGCCGCCGCCGCCGTCAGCCCCACTTGGCGGGCTAGCGCCACACAGCCGCCGCACACACACCGGGGCGGTTGCGGTAGTCATAGAGGTTCCCCATGTACCCTCCATGTGGTCCCAGTACACGGCGGCGGGCCTCCCTCCGGCTCCGGGAAGACCTCCGCCCGCTGGGACGTCAATCCGGGGCCCGGCCAAAGCTCGACGGCTCGCGGGTGCACCACTCGACCCGGCCCTCGAGTCAACAGACGCCTTACCAGGCCGCGCCACTGCCCCCATGGCCGCCGCTGCCGCTGTCGCCGCCTCCGCCGGGTCAAGCACTGCTGGCGATGGCGCCGCCGCTACCGCAGCCCCGGTCGGCGCACCTGCCGCACACGCCTCCTGCTCCACCGCAACCTCTACTGCCGCAGGCGATGCACCACCAAGCTCACTTACACACCGCTGTTGAGCAGCTCCAGGAAGGTCTCCAGGACGAGCACGAGACACGGAGTCTTCTGCGCAGGCGAGCTGAGTCTTCTGCTGGTCGCTAGACCCGGGAGAAGCACATGAGCGGACGTGTGGCACATCGGGGATACGTAGCAATGCGGCGGGCTGTAGCTGGGCGGCCGCGGAAGCCCGGCGGCGGCGATGGCTGTTGCTGCGGCTGCCGCTGCTCATGGACTGGCCAAGCTCCAGGGGCGTCAGTGCTACATCGCCACCGGCATCATGGCAAGATACCGGAGCCGTACATGCCGGTGCAGTGGGAAGGCAGCCGCCTCCGTCGTCCCGTTCCTGCTCCTGCGCTGATCGCTCCAGCTGCTGTTGCTGCTGCTGCTGCTCGCCCAACTGTTCGCCCAGCGGCTGCTGCGGCGCTAATGACGGTTGCGGCTGCTGCGGCGCTAATGACGGTTGCGGCTGCTGCTGCCGTTCCAGTGTATACTGCTGCAGCTCCGGCTCCTCCTCGACCTGGCGCTGTCCTCCGCCTTCTCCTTCGCCTCCTGCTTCCCCTGCTCCTTCACCTCCTCCTCCTCCTCCTTCTCCTTCGCATCCTCCTCCTCCTTCTCCTTCCTCCGCTCGCCCAGGTTCCTGTTCCTTTTGTTGCGCTAGCTGTTGCACCCGCTGATCGCATGACGGTACCATGCATGGCTCTGTATCAGGCCCCTTCGGTAAGGATACGGAGTCACAGCATCCCGCCCTGGACAGCAGTCCCGCTGCGGCTGCGGCTGCGGCTGCGGCTGCTGCTGACCGTGTGGGGCCGGCAGCTGGTACTCCCGGCTGCGGGAGGGCCAGCTGGACATGCGGTGTCTGTGGCGTCGGTGGCGTCGGTGGCGTCGCCAGGCCCTGAGAGCCGGCTGGGTCGGCCTCTGGGATGGTGACAGTGGCGGCGGCGGCAGTGATGGCGATTTGGTCCTCGGTTGTGAAGGGCGATGGCGGTAATTCCAGCCGCATGTTGTCGCCGCGGGGCGGCGATGCCTGTGCCACCCGACCCGGCTGCTCTGACGGTTTACGATGCGGCAATAGCGGTTGTGGCGGTTGCTGCGTCTGTGGCGACGGCAGCCGCAGCTGCGGTTGTGGTGTCGGTTGCCGCACTTGCGGTGACGGCAGCTGTTGCTGCGGCGGCGGCGGCGATGGCAGCGCCAGCAGGAAGTCAACACCATTCCCCGTCTCCGTTGTGTCCTGGGACAAGGTCCCAGCCCTGGCGCCTAATCCGTCTGGCCGCCTCCGCCACCGCCGCCGCTGAGTGGAACCGTCAGCTACAGCGGCACAGACGTCACCCCCCGCTAGACCCTCGCCTATCTCATCACCCGGTCCCAGGCCTTGAGACCCTACTGCTACTGCTGGTGCCGCTGCTGCGGCTGCAGCTGCTACTGCTTTCCTGGCTCCCCAGGCCGCCCCGCTGGCCTCCACAGAGCCCCCGCCCCTGCAGCCCGCCGAAGCAGCTACTGCTGCCTCCGTAGCCCCTGCCGTAAGGTCTCCGTACTGCCGCCGCTCCAATGGCCTTAGCACCGAGGCGGTTGCTGCCAGTACAATCTTGCTGCCACCAGCAGCGCCCGTATCAGCGATATGCACGTGAGGGCATTGTACGACTGACGTACCTCCGTAGTCACTGCTCCTGTTGCCGTCGGGGGAGACGGCAGCGGTCGCGAATGGTGGCGGATCGTCGTTGCAAGGCGACTCGACAGGTGCCGCTGATGGCGGCGGCGGCGGCGGTAGCGGCGGCGGGAGATTCTGATGGTGGAGCCCTTGGTGCTTCACATCCGCTGCAGATTCGGCCGCGGGACTGGAGCATTCCGTACAGACGGCCGTTGTTGCGTCTGCGCTGGCTCTCGGTTGTTGTACCTGTGGCGGCGGCGGATAATGTGATCGTGACGATAGTGGCGTGCGCTTCCCCTGAGGTTCCAGTTGGGCCGCCGCTGTCGGTAGCGCCACCGCTGCCGCCTTCGCTACCGCCTCCGCTGCCGCCACCGCTGCCGCCTCTGCCTCCGCCACCGCTCCCGCCTCTGCCTCCGCCCCCATCGCCGCCTCCACCACCGCTGCCGGTGCCGCCACCGCTGCCGCCTCTGCCTCCGCCCCCACCGCCGCCTCCGCCACCGCTGCCGGTGCCGCCACCACTGCCGCCTCTGCCTCCGCCACCGCTGCCGGTGTTGCCACCACTGCCGCCTCTGCCACCGCTGCCGGTGCCGCCACCACTGCCGCCTCTGCCACCGCTGCCGGTGCCGCCATCACTGCCGCCTCCGCCTCCGCCACCGCTGCCGGTGCCGCCATCACTGCCGCCTCCGCCTCCGCCTCCGCCACCGCTGCCGGTGCCGCCATCACTGCCGCCTCCGCCACCGCCACCGGTGCCTGTGCCGCCACCATTGCCGGTGCCGACACCGGTGCCACTGCTTCTTCCGCCATTGCTGCTATGGACCTCCCGTCTGACGGCAACGGTAAAACGGACGTTTGCCCGACTGAGGGCGGTGTACGCTTGGCGGCCCGCGGGTCGGTCATCAGCGGCGCGCCGGTTAGCGCCACTTTCACTTCAATTAGTTGTGTTGCTGTCAGTGGAGGCCCCTCTGGCGTACCTTCTGCCGCCAGCGGCTCAGCTAGCGGCACAACGTCGGCCGGCGGCGGCCGCTTTGCGATCAGCGCTTCCATCCGCGCTGTTGAACCGGCTCCGCAAGCCGTCTTGGCGAAATGCATGGCCGGTATCACCGCCGGTTGTAGTGACGTATCAGCCGCGGCGTCCGCCGACGGTCCAGGTACAGTCACGACGTCAGCCGGCGCCCCGCCGCTTCCCATTGACGCCGCCGCCGCCGCCGCCGCCACTTTCGACTGAAGGGGACCGGCAGGCACATGCCCTCTCTCTGCCCCACTTCCAACTGCACGGCGGAAATATTCTCCCTCTGAAGCCGCTACCTCTACCACCACGTCAGCCGCCGCCTGCTGGGGGAAGACCTGCATGGTGTTGTCCGGCCCCGCACCGCCATGAGCCTCCGGCGGCGGTTGGCGAGGACCCATGGGTCCGTTGCGCAGCTCACCGGCGGTGGGCGATCCACGGACTACCACCACCACCTCCTCCGTGACCTCATCTTCTCGTACTTGTACGGCTCCAGAAGCTATCCGGGGTGTGTCCCCGGAAGCTGCTGTCCCCTCCAAAGTAACGGCGGGTGAGTTGCCCTCATGCTCCACCTCATACTTGGCGGTACACAGCTCTCCAGGCGGCGCCAATGCCAGTGATTCTAGGTCCTCATGCAGCGATGCCGCCGCCATCCCTCCACCCACGTCACCCGACGCCGCCGCTCCTCCTCCCCCCCCCCAAGGAACAACAGCAGCATCAGCAGTAGCCTCGTTCGTCGTGTCAGCAGCAGCAGCAGTCGAGTCATCCACCGCCAGCAGGCCGTTGGGGGGACTCCGGGCAACCGAATGCACCGAGCTGTCCACCGCGGTCGTGCCATCGTCACACCCGCCAACTGCCTTCGACAGCTCAACCTCCCTGTCCTCCCTGTCCTCCCGCAAAACGGCCGAAAGCTCCTCGTGCCGCTCCGAAACAACAGCCGTCATTGCCACATCCCTTTCGTCCACCACCTGTCCCGGAACGGCGGTACCGCTCCTGGTACCTCCAGTGGTTCCGGAGCCACACGGATCGGATCGGATGCTCAGGCTCCCTCCCCGCATTACTGCAACCCCACCGACCGCCGCAGCGGTCGGGCTCCTCCTCCGCTGCGGGAACGGATCGTCGTCAGCCGGAGGAGGGAGCTCCGACTCGCCTGTTCTTTCCGCCGGAGCGCTGTCGGGGGGCCGCTGCTGCACAAGCGGTCCTTCCGAAGGGGCCATGCGCGCGGCAGATGGAAGGGCATATGTTCCGGCGGCAGCAGTAGCAGCAGCAGCAGCGGTAGCAGTAGCATTAGCAGTGGCAGCAGTAGCAGTGACCGCAGTAGCAGTGGCAGCAGTAGCAGTGGCAGCAGTAGCAGCAACACCAGCCACAGCAGCGGCAAGGGAGCCAGGAAAGCCGTTGGCAGCAGGGGCCCTGTGGACTCGGTCCGCTGCCGCTACTTCCGGAGACGCCTCAATGTCGGTGCCCCAAGGGCTATCACCGCCTACTCCCGGGCTGCCGCCGCTACAGCCGCCGCCTCTGCCGCTGGGGCTGCCGCTGGGGCTGCCTTTAAAGCTTGTGGCGGCGTCATCAGCGTCGCGCGTCTGCGACGCCCCACCAGCGCCTCCCAACCGTGGATTCCATGACGCCCAAAGGTCTCGAACTTGGTCCCGCTCAGGTTCCGGAGCCGTGCGGCTCTGCGGCAATAGCACGTCTGGCGTGGCGCCCCTCGGGCTCTGATGCTGCACGACGCTACCGGGCTGAAATTGGAAGGCGTTTTGTACTGCAGTTAACTGCTGTTGCTGCTGCTGCTCCTGCTGCCCTACAGCTGCCTGTGCGGCTGCTGATGCGGTTGCCGATAACTGTCTTTGAGGTGTAATCGGTGTGGTGGCCCCTATATCTGCAGCTGCTATACTTGGCGCCGCCGTCGCTCCCACTACCGCCGGCGCCGCATCCTCGGCTGGCGAAGACCGCAAGCGATTCGCACCCGCACCCGCCGCCGCCGCCGCCGCCGCTCCGTCCTCGTTCACATCGGCCGCCGCAGCACCCGTGCCCACTTCAACTGACGCCGACCTCCTGGAGTCTCCAGCTGCCCTCGCCGTCGGAACGGGGTCTCGGCCACCGGCTGCTAGGCCACTGCGCACAGCCCCTGCTCCCCCTGCTGCCAGCGGCGCCAGCTTCATTGCCGGCAGAACGACGCTTCCACCTGGCTCCTGCTGGCCGTCGCTGCCACCCGTGTGCTTCGCCGTCATCACCGGCGCGGCTAACCCCGCCGCCGCCGCCGCCGCCGCCCTTTTATCCCCCAGCCCCGCAGAGTCTGCCTGCGTGGCCTTCGCCGCCGCTACCTCCAGGGTCTGTTGACATGGAGGGTGGAGCACACGCAGCAGCAGCGGAGGCTGTCGGCGCTGTTGCTGGTCGCGCTGCCCATAGCTGTCCTCCTCATCCTCCACGCCGCTGCCGCTGCTGCCGCCGTACACCGCTGAGGAACCCCCAGCAGGCAGAACGAGCGCCAGGAGGCCCGCCACCGCCTGCGCTGCCACCGCCGTCGCGTCGCCGCCGCCGCCGCCGTCGCCACTGTTAATGCTATCTACCGTACGAGCACGGAGGCCGTCGCTGGCGCTGCTTACATCATCGCGGGCCTCCGAAGCTAGCCGGGTGCCGCTGCGGTTAGGCTGTTCCGCAGCAATGCCGCCGCCGCAAACTTCGACGCCGCCTCCCTCACCGTCGCTATAGTCACCAGTACTGCTGCCTGGTTCAGCTACCCGAGCTACAGCCGCCCAGACACTCTCAGGGCTGAGCCGCTCCGAAGAAACCGCATGCGGCTGTCCCTCCACGACGTGTTCCCCAACCGCAAGGAGCGGCGGCGACTGTGGCACCGGCGGCTGCGGCTGCTTCGGACCCTCCTCCCCCCACACGTGTATGGACCTCCCTCCTCCTCCTCCCCCCCCTCCTCCTCCTCCGGCCCCCACTCCATCCTGGTGCTGCTCATCAGGCCCCGGCACCACCTGCCTTCCCTGGCACTGGCTTCCTCCATGCTGTTGCTGCGGAGGTCGAGCTTGGCAGTCCCCGGCGCCCCCTTGCTGATCCAAGTGGAGGTGCCCTGGCTCCTCCTCCTCCTCCTCCTCCTCCTCCTCCTCCTCCTCCTCCTCCTCCTCCTGCTGCTGCCGCTGCTGCTGCTGCAGTACCGCTTGCTGCTCCTGTTCCCCCTCCCTCACCGCCCTGTCCAGGCCCTCCTGATCATTGCTCAGCACCCCACCTGGCGATGGGACAGTCTTTCGAGCCACCGCACCTCCCGAGGAGCCCTTCACGGCAGCAGTAGCGGCATCAGCCGCAGCAAGAGCAACAAGCACCTCCTCTTCTGCCGGGCAATGGTGAAGGCCGCCAACGCTGCCGGTCCCTGCAGCACCCTCCGCGGCATTAGCACGTCCAGTGCCTTCTTCACCGCCTCCACCGCCTCCGCCAAGCAGGGCCCCGGGTACAGGCATGCGTGTCGCCACAAAATCCACCGCCGGATGACCTTGAAGGCCTTGGGTGGGGATTTCAGCCGCGCTGCCCTCCTCTTCAGGCGCACCCGCCACATGGAAGCCTGGCCCGGACCCCACCCCTACGGATTGTTCAACAGCTTCTGGTGCCGGTGCCGGTGCCGGTGCCGGTGCCGGTGCCGGTGCCGGTGCCGGTGCCGGTGCCGGTGCCGGTGCCGGTGCCGGTGCCGGTGCCGGTGCCGGTGCCGGTGCCGGTGCCGGTGCCGGTGCTGGTGCCGGTGCCGGTGCTGTTTCTGATGTTTCTGTTGCCGCTACTTCTTGCGCCTGGGCACCCTTACTCTCGGATGCGGGCGGTCGGCTTATGGGCCGTGTGCCAGACGTCAGCAACGGTGACGGCGGCAGTAGCGGTGGCGATAGAGGCGGCAGTGCGGGGGCTGCAGCTATCCAGATCGTCGACGCGGAGGGGAAACGTGGAGCCTCTTCGCTCCGTGGAAGGGAGGAAGGTACGGCAACTTGCCGTACCAGTGACGGCTCCTGCCGCGGTTTCTGCGGTGACGACGCCACTGTAGACGGCGGCGCCGGTGCAGCCGGTGCGTGGTGGTGGTGCCCTGCTTGCACAGAATTTGGCGCCAAAGATGTGCTGGGCATCGACTGCGCTGCCGCAGCTAAGACCGGGACATTACCACCCACCGCCTCCGCATCCGCCTCCGCAGCCGCGTCCGCTACCTCCTCCGCCTCCGCAGCCGCAGCCCCCTCCGCAGCCCCCTCCGCTACCGCAGCCGCCTCCGCAACCGTCTCCGCCTCCGCAACCGCCTCCGCCTCCGCAACCGCCTCCGCCTCCGCAACCGCCTCTGCAGCCACCTCCGCAGCCACCTCCGCAGCCGCCACCGCAGCCGCCACCGCAGCCGCCTCCGCTACCGCAGCCGCCACCGCCTTCGCTACCGCAGTCGCCTCCATATTCTCCGGAGAGGAGCTGCTGGGCCGCCCTGCCGCGTCCTCCTCAGCACCATCACCGTTTTCCCCCCTGTGGAAGCTTCCATGGGGTTCCTCGGTGAGCTGTTGATCGCCAACATGGCGACGCACATTACGAAGGTCGTCCTGTGGGGGAGATTCTGGTGACGAAGGCACGGGCTGAAGTAATAGCGGCGGCAGGCCTGACACCTTTGACGATGGCGATGGCGACGCAGTCCCTGCAGCTGCAGGTGGCATTGCGCACTCGCGGTGGTGGTGGTGGTGGTGGTGCTCCGGGGTATCCTTTACGGCTACCTTGGTCAGCAGTAGTGGCACAGGCTGCTGTTGCTGCTGTTGCTGCTGTTGCTGATGCACCGTAGGCGCAGACTGTGGCTGGTGCGCCGCCCCCTGTGCAGTGACGGACATGGCAGACAGGAGGGCTCCAGTCGGCGGGACCCGCTCCCGGAGCGTCACCAATGACTCTCCAGCACACAAGGTGAGGTCCTGAGGCCGTAATGATAGCAACCCCTCCGCAGCAGCAGCAGCAGCAGCTACACCTCCGACATCCACAGTGCAGCAGGGCGCCTCCTCACCCACACACGGGCTTGCGGCCGCCATAGCCGCACCCTGAGCCTCAGACGCGGCGTTCAGCGGCGCGTCCGAATTAAGCCCCTCCTCACCCCCGCTGCGATCTCCCGCGGGGGCTGTAGCTACAGCTACAGCTGCAAGGGGCCCAGGACCCGTTGGGTTGGGTGCCCTTGCAGCTACAGCCCCCGGGGTGGCGTCCGCTACCGCCGTTCGTACCTCGGTTAGCACTATTGCCATGGGCGGTTCGGTTGTAGCCGTTGAATATTCAGTTGTAGCCGGTACAGGTCCGTTAGTAACCATGGGATGTTCGATTGTAGCCGGAGGAGGCCCAACTACCGCCATGGCTGGTACGGCATCCGCTCCCGCCGGTGCCATGGCCTCCGTTGCTACTGCCGAGGCGCAGGGCGCTACTGCTGTCGGGTCGCCTGTGACCTCAAGGGCTGGTAGAGCCGGCTGGGCTGATGCCGTTATACCCCTCGGGAGGTGACTGTCTGCTGTGATAGCGGTGGCTACACCACCACCAGCGTCTACCGCATCGGGCGTTGCTCCCCCTCCTCTGCCGCCTCCTCCTCCTCCTCCTCCTCCTCCTCCCCCTCCTCCTCCTCCTCCTCCTCCACCTCCTCCTCCTCGCCGTCCTCCATCTGTAGCTCTACGTGCAGATAGCACCGCTACGGGTATGGCTGTTTGAGTTTCCTCTGCCGCCCCCTGCGTGATGCCCTTCTCCTCCGCAACGTCCACCACCGCGCCTTCCATGCCCAAGGACTCGTCTACTGTTGCTGCTGCCGCTGCTACGGTGGCGATCGGCGGCTGATCCAGGTGAAACGTTGGCGGCTCCGCTCCACGCATGACGGGACACCCTGCCGAGCCCGTCATTGCCCCCGACGGTGGAAGTGTTGGCGGTGGCAGCTCGGCAGCGCGGCCTGCGGCGGTCCCCATACAGCGCCCACTGACAGCTACGTCTCCTTCTCCGCTGCCGCCTTCTTCATCTCCAGCTACACGCGGGACTGAGCTAACGGCGGCTGGATCGCCGCTGCCGCTACCGTCACCAGCATCACCAGCATGGCCATCATCGCCATCATCACCAGAGATCTGGAGCCCACTGGCAGCCTCATCCAGACTGCCATGCGCTGCGTCTCTGAGAGCAACACCATCGATGTGGTCGTCAATCTCACCCCGCCACATGCCCGACAGGACTGGCTGCCTATCCCCTGTGCCGAACCGCACATGCTCATCCTGCTGGACCGCCAAGTCAGCCTCACCGCTGGCGCCTCTCTGACCGGGCGCCTCAAGCTGACCGCAGCTGCCTGCCTGACGCGTTGGGTGATAAGCGGAGCGCAGACTGTGGCTGTCCCCCGTCGGCTGGTCACTGAGCTTGATCCTGTGCATGTGCTCCGGGACTGCTCCCCCCCCACCAGCTGGCCCTGCCTCAAGGAACTGGTCCGGCGGTTCAGGCGCGCAAGCACCGGCTGCTGCCTGCAGAAGGCGCCCGGCTGCCTCATCCCTAGATGGGGCTATGGCAGGCCATGCGGACGACTCTGGAAGCAAGAGCCCCTGCGGTGGCAGGATCGTAGCGGCGGTACGCGGCGGGTCTCCAGCCGTCACTATTGCTACTGCTACTGCTGCTGCTGCTGCACCAGCTGAAAGATCTTCGCTGGCATCGGCACCAGTATTGCCCGGGGCAAGCTCACAGGATAACGCCCCTGAAGGGCCCCCGGTTTCGGAGCAGCTTGGAGCGCTGGCTAAACCTGGGCTTGGAGCCGTCATGGTGCAGGTCATGTGCTGCTGTAGCGCCGGAAGGTACGACACCCTTGTCGCGGAAGCGGCTGGGGTGGCAGTCGACGCAGCCACGCAGCCGTCGACCAGCTGCGTTGTTGCGGTGGCCGTCTGACCCATGGGTCCTTCGAAAGGAGGAGCCGTGGCAAAGGACGGTGCCGGTAGCTGCGCCACCATCTGCGGCGGCGGTGAAGGTACTGCAACTGCCGTGCGTTGTGCTAGCGGTGTCGATGCCGTCAGATGCTGTGATGCATGCTGCGTCGGTGAGCCGTGTACGGGCAAAGGGAACGTTGCGCACTGCGACGGTGCCGCCGACGCCGACGCCACGGACTGCGACGGCACCAATGCTCGCGGCATTAATGGCTGCGGCGGCACAGACAATGTCGTACGCTGTGGCGGCGGCTCCACCGACAGTAACACAGCAACCCCTTCCTGTGTGGTTACGCAGTACGCAGCGTTGGGGACAGAACCGCCCGTCACCGCCGCTGCTGTCGTCGCTGTCGCCGCCGTTGTGGACGGTGACGGTGGCGGCGGTACTTGCGGCGCGCTGCTCGTCAATCGGGGTGGCGTAAGGCGCGATGTAAGGAGGCGAGCGGCGGGTGCCGCTAAGGAGGCTAGTCGAGCAGCGGCGGCGGGGAAAGGGGCCGGCGGGGCCGCCGCCGCTGCCGCTGCGGATTGCTGCCGTGGCGCCGGTGGCGGCGGCGGCGATGGCGGCGGCAGCGCTCTGCCAGTTGCCCCTGCTGCTGCTGTGCTGGTGCCTGAAAGCGGCTTTCTAGGTTGCAGAGGACTGAGGCCCAAGTTCCCCAAAGGATAGGCGGTTTTGCCCCCTGCACCTCCGCCTGTGCCATCGCTCCGTATGTATGTATGTACGAAGTGTACGGGCTGGCCTACACGTTTGGCCTGCGGAACCGCCCCCAATAACTGCGACGGCCGCCCCGCCACCGCCTCCGCCGCCGTTCCCTTCTGGCCTGCGCTGCTGGCACCGGCGGTCGTTGCAGGAGCACCCGCGGGGCCGCTGACGCCGCCAGAAGAGGCCGATGCCGTACCGGGCGGAGCGCCGCTGGCGGACTGCAATGCAATCTCTGGTTCAACCTCCAACTCTGGAGCCGTCTCTGGGATAAGAACCTGATCACGAAGCGGGTTGGCAGCGGTCGCAGCGGCTAGCACAGAACCCTCCCTTGAGTGCGCCGCTACAGCTCCCGTCGTAGCCGCTGCAGCGGACGCCGGGGACGCCGCTGTGTGAAGTCTGGCTACAGCCGGGGGTAGCGGCGACGGCACCACCGCCGGCACCACCGCCGGCACCGGTTCCGGTGACGCTGCCACCGTCGCGAGTGCTGTCGTGGCTTTTGACTGCGTGCCTGCTGCCCTGCTTAAGACCGGAGTGGGTGCCGAAGCGGGCAGCGGCAGTACCGCCGCCCTCACCAGCAGTGCCGCCGCGCCCGCCGTAGAGCAGCTCTCCAGCGGCCGGTCGGCACCAGCTGAGCCCTCGTCGCCTTGTGACGGCGCCGGCGCGGACGCCGCTCCTCGCGGCGACGCAGCGGCGATGCGGCCTGCAGGCAGCGGGCGGTCTGACGTCGCAGCGGGCTCCGCCGACACCCCGGCGGTTGACCGCGCTGCTGGTGCTGGTGGCGGTAGTGGTGCTGTTGGTGCTGTTGGTGCTGCTGATTGCAATGCGCCGACGCTTTCCAAGGACGGCCGCTGGCTCGAGCGCGGCGTCGGCGGGTGGCGCATAGGCCCCAAAGGTCGGCCAGACGTGGAGGCAGTGGCTGTGAGCCGTTCCCGTCGCCATCCTGTGGTGTCCTGTGAGGCGCTTTCTGGTTCCGGAGCCGCGTCCTTTAAAAGCCAGGTACAGAAGCACAAGAGTGTCGCATGCAGCAGAGCAGGGGGAGGCAGACAGTACGGTTTGGGGCACGGGGTAGAACAGGGGTACATTCCAGCCTCCACTGTCTCTTATCTATTCTCTTCTCACTTAACGCCTCGAGAGACACGTATCGCGCTACGAGCGTATATCTCTTTCTTCTGGTACTCAGCCGCGTCTATCGACAGCCAAGTAAGACACCCTAGCAGGGCGGTAGCATTATGGCTGCCAGCCATTGTGTTCTTCGCGCAGCAGCAGCAGCAGCAGCAGCAGTAGCAGTAGCGGTAGCAGTAGCAGCAGCTACTGTCGCAGCAGCAGCAGCAAGCGAAGGCAAGCACCTTGGGAGTTCTATGCTCAGCAAACGCACAGCTCACCGACAGCTCACACTCTCAGAGCGCTTTATGGCATTCCGTGCACGGCATGATTTGGGTTTTTCTCCCGAACCCCCAGAGCGGTACCACCCTCAATACACACACACACACACTAAGTCCCCACACCCTATCCGTACTCACACGAAATTGCTGTTGCTGCTGTTGCTGGCGGTAGTGCTCCTGACGCTGCTGCTGCTGCTGTTGTTGTCGCCTTAACTCCGTCTCCAGCCTCCGTATAAAGAGCTGGTTCACCAGGCCTGTATAGGCAAATGGGCAGAGTGAGGTCAGCTGAGCCACCTGCACTTCCAAGTACCCAAGCCTAGCTTTGGAGAAGCTAACGCTAGCTAGTAGAGGGTGAGAACTACGTAACACACGGAGGCAAGGAGGCAGAGAAACAGACTGGGCGGTCCGTCACCCTCGCCCTCGCCCTCGCCCTCGCCCTCGCCCTCGCCCTCGCCCTCGCCCTCGCCCTCACCCTCACCCTCGCCCTTGCCCTCGCCCTCGCCCTCACCCTAGCCCCCGAGCCCTCTACTCCCAAGGTCCTGACTGACTGACTTCCCGGAGCTCGTTCCCTCGCCGCCGTTGTCGTCCCCTGTCACCCATTCACCACTCACCTAGTCGCCGTTCCATTTGTCGCAGTGCCTGATCCACCAGCTGAACAGCCAACTCCCGCGGATTGGCCTCCAGAACAAAACCAACACGCTGAAGAAGCGCCGCCGCCGAGGGCCCGCCGCCGCTGCTCATGCTACTGCTGCCGCCGCCGCTGCTACCTCCGCCGTCGGCACACCCGTCGGCACCGGCAATCGATGCGGGTAAGCAGCTGAGCAGTTGTTCCCGCTGACCAGCGAACATGTGCCGTACGGCCGCTGAGATATGGGAGCTGCCGTGTGGGCCTTGTGCGCCACCATGAGGCCGTGACTGAGGCTGCAACTGCGATTGTGGGTCGAAGTCCGCTTCCGAATTCACGTTTGGTTTAGATTGTAGATTCGGATCTGGATCTGGATCTGGGTCTGGATCTGGATCCGGCAGGGTGAAGAGGTCCGCCACCATTTGGGTGGATGCGTCCCATTCCACGGGCGCACGGCTCAAGAGGTCTAGGCAAGCCTGTGTTAGACGTCGGGAATGTACGGGAGTGTACGGAATTAGAGGTTTGTGAGGGTGGACAGTACGGCAGTAGCACATCGCTTTGCGGTATGAGCGATTATTTCTCCCTTGCCACGTTTTTGCCGCGGCAGTGACATAGCGCCGCAGCGCCATAGCGGAACAAAATCGCCATTCGCACTTGAGATGCGGAAACTTCGCTCTGGTATAATGAAAAGGGTTTCGTGAAGCATCTGGAGCAGCTGAGCGAAACTTTCGCCCCACAGAAAGCAAGTTTAGCGTCATGCTGTAACCTGGGAATGGAAGAGCCACTCTATTGCGCAAAGATGCACCTGAGTCCGCACGGCGATATGGGCGGTCGCGTTGTCATCGTCCAGCTCCAGACATAGCTCCAGCATCGCCGCGAACGCGACGTCGAGCGTATCGTTCTGCCGGAAAAATGCAAGTTGCAGGGCTTCGGTGTTGCGAAGCCAAACAGCGCCAAATCAGTGCTATGCCCTCAAGTTTAGATTTACAATCATAACTTTTGGCTGTTCGTGCAAAACAGTAATGCCACACGGACTATAACCCACTTACTTCAAGCCTGCGGCGCAGCCAAGCTGTACACGCTTTGAGCTGCAGGTGCTCCGGAAGCTCCAGTCCCAGAAGCTCCACAGCTTCAAGCGTGCCTGTCCACGCCATGCAGCGAAGGGAAGAGTTGCGACAAAACTGAGATGCGGGATTCGGCTTCAGCGGTTAACCTCGTAGTATCCCGTTCGACGCACCTCCGACATGTTGACTTGGCGCCTTTTGAAGCTCTTTTGCAACACCAAGGACGAGCCGCGCTTTATGGGTTGCGTTGGCTATGCTCATACTCAAAGGGGAATCCCCCGCTGAAGCAAAATGTTTGTCGCCGTTAAGGGTTATCCACAGTCAGCTAGCTCGTTGCTTTGTTACAAACGGTGACCAGGGGGAGGGTTATGCAATTGGGACAGCATCGGACCCCATCGGAACTGTGTTGCAGCTAGATCGATGGCTCCCGCTAAACCTCCCGATTTTCCAGTACGGCGTCATGACAAAATCTTTCGAAGCGACCGCTCACCATGGGCTGCGCTGATGGCCTACGTATCCTGCATATGTTTGGTATATTCGGCTAGGATGCAAGCGTTTAAATGTTCTGGGGGTAACTTGCGACACTATTCCTAACGTGCGTCCCTGCCAAAGCGATTCGCGTGAAGTCAGTATCTCTCATCAACAACGCATCCTTGTTATTTAGCTGTCTCATATATATTTAACTGTATATTATAACATGGGGAGCCAGGCCGAAGAGGTGGACTGGGACAGGTGAGTCAAGAACCCGAACAGCAGAATTGAACCGGCCAATCGCAGGAAATTACCGCTGCATTTATGTAGCCACAAGCATGAATGACTCACTCGATCGTGTCCTGACGCCGTCGGCGCGTCGTGCCCTAACTCGTTGATTTAGGCTGGACAAGAACAAGTTCTTCCTTTATGGAGCGGGCATGTTTTCTGTAAGTTTGTTTTCCCGGGAGAAATCCCGTTCATGTCTTCATCTGACGTTTCGAGTTTCCGCTGATGATGACACGATAATTTTTTTCGCGCAGGGGGTAACCCTGACTTTGTACCCGTTATCAGTGATCAAAACAAAGCAAATGACCTTGCCGGGTATCAGCGGTGGCTTCCAGGTGCGGTTGGACTCCCCCCACGTCTCAGGCAGGGTTGCTGGTGTCCTGTCCGAAGGCCTGGAGCCGTATCCCCTATTGCACCTCCTTCCCCTCACAGGGTGTCAAGCAGACCGCTTCCACAATCATGCGGATTGAAGGTATTCCAGGTTTCTACCGTGGCTTCGGCACTGTTATGTTTGGGACAATTCCAGCCCGTTCGGTAGGTGTCCTTATGTTGTAGCACCGGTACCGGCAGGTGCAAGTCCGTGCCAAAACTTGGCATCTCTGTGCATTGGTCAGGCTTTCGCATCCTTGGCATATGCGAGGCTTAGAAACGTTGCTTCCATGTGCGTACCCATGACCACGCACACGAGTACACAGAACCCTGGGGTCTAGCATCTGCCCAGCTGAGCCAAAAGCTCATAGCAGCTTCCAACACTTTCCAGGTAGCGCAGCTCCACCTCCACCTGCAAACACGGAATAGGCAAGTGGCATCCGTGGCCCGAGAGCTCCTGCGCTGTTTCCCATACACGACCAAAATCACGGCACGCGCTCACACAAGCATCCCACAGCAGACCCTTCACCCTCTAGCCTCGACCCTACACACTTTCAGGACCTATAGCGTCATGCCAAGCTCCGCTGTGCACAGCAGTACATGGCCAAAGTGGTTTGTCTCTTCTCCATTACGACCCCCCCACCACCACCATTCAATTTGGCCTGCTCCACAAGTCGCAACCGCATGGGCCCCCTTTGTGCTACGGATGCAGGTGTACCTGACCACCCTGGAGTGGACCAAAAGCGAGGTGGCCAAGGTGGTGGGGGATTTGGGGCTCACAGGACCGGTGGCTGCGGGTGTGGCCAACTTTGCCGGCGGTGCCGTGGCGTCCCTTGCCACCCAATCCGTAACGGTGCCCATAGACGTCATCTCACAAAAGCAAATGGTGCATGGGGACGAAACAGTGGTGGCCAGGCACCAGCACAGCCGGGGCGGAGCGGTGTCTGTAACAGCTTCGAGGCCAGGACCATCAGCAGCGTCGTCAGCAGCGTCCACTTCAGCAGCAGGAGGGTCGGCGGGGGGCCAGGCACCGGGGCCTGGGATGGCTGCTGCTGCTGCCGGACCTGGAGGACATGGTCTTGGGTCAGTTGGAGTTAGGGGGCCGGCGGCGGCACCAGGAGCAGCTCCGTCATTTCCTCCCGTAAGCGCAACAAATGGAGCGAGCGGGGGAGCGCTGCCAGCAGCAGCAACAAAAGCACCAGGTGCAGGATTATTATTATCATCATCATCCTCATCATCATCAGCAGCAGCAGCTCCCTCTAGTCCCGCAGCGTCCGTCGCCTCGGCAACTGTACCCCCCTCCTCCTCTTCCTCCTCACCCTTATCATCGTCATCATCACCACCATCGTCGTCGTCAGCAGCAGCAGCAGCACCCTCAGAAGCTCTATCTCGGACTATGCCGGGGGCTTCCACTTCCGGAAGGACGCCACACACACAGGTGGCTAGTGCTGTGCGCCGCATCGGTGCGCTGCAGATGGTGCGGTTAATTCTCAAGGAGGAAGGTATTGGGGGATTATACCGGGGTTTCGGAGCCTCGGTCGCCACCTTTGTACCTTCCAGCGCAGTCTGGTGGGGTGCGTACGGCACGTACCAAAAGCTCATCTGGGCCTTGCGGTATCACAGTCCCGGGGAAGCTGGTGGCGGCGTTGCTGCGGCTGCAGCTGTAGCTGTACCCGGGGATGGGGCTGCTGCTACTGCTGTTCCCGGCGGGCAGCCGCCAGTGGGGCATTCGACCGGTGAGGTAGTGGCAGTGCAGACGTTGTCCTCTGTGTTGGCTGGCTTCACAAGCGGACTGCTGACGACACCGGTGGATCTAGTCAAGGTGAGGGCGAGGATGTAGACGAGGGTCAGAGCCAGTACCCCGGGCCATGGGGATATATGCAGCGGGCTGCGGGGAATTCATAAGACAGCAGATGTGTCCTCGGGCAGTACCAGGATGCTGGCGGGGGACACGGCGTCCTGCATGCATGCCGGCGGGTGCGCCGGCCCCCTGATTTGGAGGAAAGCAGTCAACAGAAAAGATAGACAGTCGAAAGCGCTCGGAAAACAGGCAAGAACGAGCTTAGATTAGAGCGCGGAAGTGTCGCGGATTGGACGGAAAAGCCGGTGGTGGTGATGGGGCGATGGTGGGGCGGTTCAAGCCATGGAATGCGTGGGTGTAGAGGAGTAGATAGATCCTATTCGGCGCGGAACTTTGGCATCCTGCTCCACCACTTTCTCCTCCGCCTCCGCCTCCGCCACAGCCAGCGCTACACCCAGCCATGTGCCCCCAGTTGTACGGAGCCCTTGCGGTAGGGTCTTTGTTCTTTTGCCTGTGTTGCGCGGGTGTCCTCATGCCCACCCCAACGCCTGCACTCTTTCCATGAGCACGTTGCACATTGCACCTGCTTATGCACTGCCCGCTGTCGGCCTCCATGCGGGCACCAACACCGGAATCAACACCGGAACCAACACCACCAATACCTGCAGACTCGCATCCAAGTGTCGTACAAGCACGACGGCGCGACACCCACCTTTGGCGAGGTGGCCAGGCAGATCATGCGAGAGGATGGTGTGGGCGGCTTCCTGCGCGGCGCGGTGCCGCGGATGCTCAATGCTTCGTTGTGGGGCACCTGCATGGTCACCGTTTACGAGTACTTGAAGCGCACGTGTGCCAAGGCGGATGAAACTTAGCAGTGAGAGAGAGCTCGGGCGACGAATCGAAAGCTCCTGTGCTGCAGGCGCTAGGCGAGTGCATGTGATGTGTGTTGGAGGGTTTGGGCCAGGGGCTACGCATGCGCGGGGACGGGGTGGTGCCTAAATGTGCAGAGCGTCTTGGACAAGACGCGGCTAAGTGCAGCGCAGTGATGCAGCTGGACCAGGAGTGGGTCTGCAGGCGCAGAAGCCGCCCGCGGGGTGGGGAGCAGAAGAGGAGAGGATGGGAGTCATACAGAGTGGTGAGATGTAGAGATTGGCCGGTAAGGTAATGTCATTGGCGTTCTGCAGTTCTTGTACTGCAGGATTCATGCACCGAGAGTTGGCCGGGTAACAGGTGGGCATGTGCTCAAAAACACAGGGCTGATGATGATTGAGGGAGGTCACAGAGGGAACCCGAACAGGTCACTACCGATTGTAGTGGTTGTGGTAGTACTAGTAGTACTATTAGTAATTCTGTCCGCACAATCCAACCGCTGCATGATTGGCCACTAGATGCCCTAACAGGTACCAAGGCCTTGAGCAACGTACAGCTAAATGGTATCTAAATGTTGCTCCGTTCGCTGTTGAGCGTTGTTTTCAGAGTAATGCTTGATTTAAAGCTTTTAAGCAGCACTGCTGAGGTTGACGCGAATAAGAACTTTGACCAAACAGTGAGGCCAGGGGGCTGCGGCAAGGGACATGCACAGGTTTATGTGCGCCTCTCGTACCGTACTGTCGTACAGTTCGCGGTAGGGCAGATCTGTTACAGATGTACAAATAAATCGGGGATGATGGATGGGGATTCGTTTTGTGACTCTCTAACCCTCAACCCCGCCAACACCAGAAGTTGAAGGATGCTTTATTCCTCAGCACATGGCAAGAGGGGAACCCGCCTACCAGGATAAAGTTGTTTTTTCCCAATCAGGGGCTGAAGGAGTGCCGCGGAAAAACAGGAGAAAGGATGAGATCCAGGGACGCCACGGGACTACGAAAGCTCAGCACTGCAGCTTTGTGGATGGGAGGCGGAGCATCCTGATGCGGGTTGGTCAGCGAGTTTAACCTAAAGGCTGGTCATTGCAGTACAGATGGAGACGTGGATAAGCTTCGCTAGCAGCCGAGAGTGAGAGAAGCGGTTGAAAGGGAATGCCTTAGTGCCTGTAAGTTTTATAACTCACAAATGGAACGTCACCTCCGGTGCTGTGTCAGCCGTAAGTTCCCTAGGCAGTATTTCGGCCAAGTGTACGGCGCACAGCAACTTTTTTCTTGAACTGTGACTACCAACGTAGTCATTTAAACAATTAACAACTTAAATATGATGGACCCGCCAGAAAGTGAGTCACACTTAAGCTGCAAGAGCGACAGCACCAGGTCATCCCAACCCAAATCATTCATAAAGGTGATGAAGAATGTTAGGGGGCCAATGCAGCAGACCATCATGAATAGGTCCAACTTGCACTGCTGCCAGTAAGCAGCCATACCACAGATGCCCCTTAGGAACACCCATGAAGTGCTGCTCAGCTGCACCATGGCACCATCACGGTATCCATCAATGGCCACCAACATTACCACCAGCTTGCTGGCGGCCAGCACCCCCACAGCTTCACCCAGAGTGCCCTCTGCCCACACTCCTGGCCCCCCACAGCCTCACTCACATTGTCCCAAAAACCTTCCTCAGCCAGCTGCAACACCCATGCCGCTTGTCGGTGCTGCACCACTGCTGGGTTCACCTGTTGTAGCGCGATAGCTACACAGTAATGATGAGCTTATTAAGAAATATGCGAATCTAATTATGATTATGAAATCTTCTGAAACTGATACGGCTGTCAAGGAACCGTTTGTAAGAATTCACTGGAACTGAACATCAAGGATCTGTACGACAGCCTTACCGAAATCCATAAACTTACTGAAATCGTCTTTGCTCACAGAACGACGTGTTATTGTTTAGAATTCATATTCTACACACGTTCGGAGCGCGGTTTTATACCGTGGTCGGGGCAGTGCCGGCCTGAGACATACTTCACGTGTCTCTAGCACTGCACCACACTACAACATTTTTTGGTGTCTCAATAGCGCATTGCCATTATTAAATTATAATCTGAGTAGCTTGCCTCGTTTAGGGTGCCAGCCGCCTCCCTTTCCTACGGGCGACTGGCCATTGGCTTCCGTCGTGGATGTTCTCAAGTCAACCTCGCAACACCAACGAAGCCCTGGTACAAGCTCTAGTTGCTGGACTGCGTCTTTCTGTCCAAGGTTGGCGGCCGTGAACACGACTTTCTGTCATGCCCACTATGGATGCGCCAACGCTCACCGATTCAACGAATGTAGATGAAGTCGCTGTACCTCTACCGAACCCACCGAATCCGCTGAACCCACCGAATCAACTGAACTCGACAATTCTCCCGCGTACCGAACCGGCTGCGGATGCTGGCGGCTCCGCCGGCCCCTCCCGCGCCGAACATGATCTCCTTGCACTGAAACTTCAGCTCGTTCAAGCCGAGATCGAGCTAACGCGGTTAAAGAACGCTGGTGCTGGCCCATTGACTGCACCTGCTCCGGTGTCGAGCAAGAACGGAAGTTTGGAGACGTTTGCCAAAGATTTCCAAGAATGGGTGGCTAAATACGCTCTGAACAACGATGACGCCTTGTGGCAACTGCGCCACTCCTTGCGCGAGTACCCGCCTGGCGCTGTTGAATGGCTTTCTAAGTACCGCACTGAATTTCAGAACGCCAACAAACCGATTCGCCTACCAGAGGTGCTAACGGCGTTCCTAGATTATTTCGAACCGAATGTACGTAGTAAGAAATTTGATGCGCTCGAATCTTTACTGAAGGGGGAGGTCCGGATGGATGCTTCCAAGGGTGTGGCTGAATACGCTGTTCGTTTTCGTGAGGCAGCTCGTCGTGCAAAGTTTACCGCTCAAGAACCGCTTACGAAATTGTTTTACCTGGGGCTGATTCCTGAACTTCGCCCCTTTTGCCGTGTTGATTTTCATGGTGCCGATTTTACTGAACTGGATGCAATTGTGCAATTCACTCTCACTGAAGAACGAAAATTGCAGGCCCGCAGGCAGGGTCAGTCTCGTGCGGCTCTCCACTATGCTGCTGCCGCTTCCACGAAAACTAAGCACCGCTTTCACGGTTCCCGACAGGACTGTCCGAAGTCTACTGGAAAACGAACTACCGAACCACAACTGTGGCGCGATGTGGTTGTGAAACGCGTCAGAGCGGAGCGCCCTATGACTACCGAAACTAACTAATGAATACCAGTGTGTCCTGTTGCGTCTGCTGGGCCTACGCCTACATTTCCTGGAACCCCTGTGTCTACACCTTCATGAACTTCATCATCGTCAGATGCCAAGGTGTCAGTGACACAGGCTGCTTTGAATTGACCCAACGAGCCTTCCTGGACTCCGAACCCTCTCTGGCCTGGAACCTTCCTATCGAATTTAGAGAAGTATCAGTGGATGCAGCAGGGGAAATGCTACCGCTGTGGTGTTCAGAACAATCACATTAGTGCTCATTGTCCTCATGCCGGCCAGAGAATCGATAGGATGTTGCCCAGTTGTATTCGTGTGGCATGCGTACTGGGGTGCCGAGTCTGTATGATTTTCGAATTGTCGATTACGAGTTGTTGCGATAACTAGAGGGACAACTAGAGGGTCGATTTGGGTGAAGGTTCTCTTTGGATGCTGCTGCGAACGACGATGGGAGCAATGCCGTTTGTAAGACGTTTGCTTCCCCGACTCGATCTTTTCTCAATTCCGATTGTTCTGGCCACACTATCTGGATGAATCCTCCAACGAAACTGTTATCCGTTTTCCTCTGTCATTATCAACGTTGTAAGAGTCATGATCCTAGCATATCGTCTTGTATTCTGATTCCAACTGAACAGAAACGAATCCGTTCCTATCTGAAAGACATGACACGACTTATGATTTACCGTCTGAAACTCAGTTGTACCGTACATATCGGGTTGGTTGTCCAGATCCTCCGCCTGAAACAGCAGTTATGAAATTTGGTGGGATCCACCTAAAGGAAAACCGATTGAACCGAAATGTTCTATAACCGAAACCGATAATCAATTGCAGTTATTTGCTGGACGCCTTGGTGCACTGCCTCGTTTCTCAGTTGATGGCTACCAAACTTGGCTTGCGGATCTTGCCTACACCGCTTGCTCTGGTGCGCCTAGCAAACCAGTCAATCTTACCTATTCTCGGTGAGTGTCAAACTCGTTTGCGCCTTGGTCGTTTTGGTACCGATATCAAAGTAAAACCGGCTTTGACCGTATCTGCGGATGTGATTCTTGGCATGAACTTCCTAACCCGTTATGACGTGCAAATAAGGCCTGAGCGTAGCGAACTGATGTACATTGTGAGCGATGTACATTGCGAGCATTGCACGCCCCGTTACCTTCCTGTTCCCGAATTTCTGTTGTTGGAAAGAGCGCCAGCTCGCACATCTGTGGTATCCGTGGAGCGCGCGTTTAGAGACCTTTTCGAGTCGCCCGGCTCATGTGGGTTGCTGGTTGCCGTTAAACCGTTAAACGAATCAACCGCACATCCTCCGACCAGCCCCATTCCTCAGGTCTATTCCCTCGAACTTCCACCTGAACTCGAAACGAACCGAACCTTAGCAACAATCTTGCATGATTATGCGGATGTGTTCGCTCCTATCTCCGGGCTACCTCCTGACCGTGGGGTACATCATACTATTCCGTTAGACTCTGGTGCACAACCGATTTACCATCCTCAGTACCGTTTGACACCGTTGGAAAAGGAAGAAGTTGAAAAACAGGTCAAGGACTTGCTGGCTAAAGGGTTCATTCGACCCTCACATCTCCTTTCGGTGCGCCTATTCTCTTTGTGACCAAGAAGACAGGTGAACTCCGAGCCCTGAATCGATTAATGATTAAAAACCGATATCCGTTACCCCGAATTGATGATACGTTAGACCGGTTGGCAGACTTGGCTTCTGGTTATCATCAACTCGGAATTCACCCGGATGATGTCCCGAAATCCACTTTTAATACACCTTTGGGACATTTCGAGTGGCTGGTGTTGCCTTTTGGGCTCTCCAACGCTCCTGCTAGACGTTACAAGCAACCATGAACCGGATTTTCGCTCCGTATATGCACCGATTTGTAACCGTATATCTGGATGATATCCTGATCTTTTCAAAAACTCCGGAAGAACACGCTGAACATCTGCGTTTGGTTCTTGAAACGCTCCGAAAACACCAACTGCACGCGAAACTTTCGAAAGGTGAATTCTGGAAAACCGAAGTCAAGTACCTTGGTCACATCGTGGGCTCTGATGGTATCCGAGTGGATCCGAACAAGGTGGACACGATCCGAAACTGGCCACTACCTAAGGACCTAAGTGAGCTGCGCGCCTTTGTTGGCCTTGCGAACTATTTCCGACGATTTATCCGCAATTTTGCCTCTTTTGCAAACCGCGCCTCCCGGATGAGTGGCCACCTCAGGCGCTGGCCGCATTTCAATCCATTAAAGAATGCCTGTCAACCGATGTCTTACTGAATTACCCGGATTCCTCGAAACCGTTTGAGGTTGTTTCCGACGCATCGCTCAACGGAACCGGTGCCGTGCTGTTGCAAGACGGTCGCCCGATTGCTTTCACGAGTAAGAAATTTTCCGCTGCCGAACGCAACTACTCTACCGGTGAAAAAGAATTGTTGAGCGTTGTGAATGTTTTACGCGAGTGGCGATGTTATTTACAAAGAATCTGTTTTTACCGGCTTTGCTGGTGCGAAACAAAACACGAGTACCGCTTTTCACCCTGAAACCGATGGACAAACCGAATGAATCAACCGAATTCTCGGTGATATGTTACGACAATACGTTATGAATGATACTGAACAATGGGATCGTTATCTCGATGCCGCTGTTTCGCAATTAACAATCTGCGAAACCGAACCACGGGTCAGTCACCCTTCTTCCTTAACTACGGTTTCCATCCGCGAACACCTTTACAGTTGGAACTTGCTGATACCGTTCCTGCTGCCAAGGTTTACATGGATACGTTCCATGAATGACTGAATCTTGCGAAACGATTTTATCAGCCTGCGCAAGACCAAGCTGTTCAACAGGAGAGTGAGAAACGATGTACCGTGACCCTACATGTTGGTCAACAGGTATTACTGAGTACGAAAAAACTGTCTACACAGAACGGTACACGAAAACTGATGCCACGCTGGATAGGACCTTTTCTGATTACCGAAATGATTAATCCCGTTACTTTCCGTTTGGGTTGGCCTCCTGAATATCGATTCCACGATGTGTTTCATGTGTCCTTACTCCGACTTTACTGTGCTGACGTCCCTGATGGCCCTGTTCAGCCTCAGAAAGCTTTGGAATTTGACCCTGTCACTTCCAAGCCTGTTTGGACGATTGAACGAATCCTGAAGCATGAAACCCGTAAACTGAGGAAACGAACCTTATACCGATTTCTGGTGAAATGGAAAGGACATACTGATGAACACAATACGTGGCTTGATGCTACCGATATTTCTGATCGAATTTTGATTACTGAGTACTGGAATGCTCACCCCGAACACAGCGAGGACGCTGGTTCCTGGAGGGAGGAGGCAGCTGTTGTAGCGTGATAGCTACAAAGTAATGATGAGCTTATTAAGAAATATGCGAATCTAGTTATGATTATGAAATCTTCTGAAACTGATACTGCTGTCAAGGAACCGTTTGTAAGAATTCACCGGAACTGAACATCAAGAATCTGTACGACAGCCTTACCGAAATCCATAAACTTACTGAAATCGTCTTTGCCCACAGAACGACGTGTTGTTATTGTTTAGAATTCATATTCTACACACGTTCGGAGCGCGGTTTTATACCGTGGTCGGGGCAGTGCCGGCCTGAGACATACTTCACGTGTCTCTAGCACTGCACCACACTACAACATCACCACCCACACTTGCCTCACCATTATGCTGACACCATGGGGGACGGAGATCACCGATCACAGCTAAGTGATCATGATGAGGGACAGCACCCAGCTCAGGTACTCAGGCATGTGGAACCAGTGATTGGCATTCATCACACGAGAATGGAAGTACATCGCCAAGGTCAAGTGTGCCGGGCAGTCATTGTTTAAGTGTCAGTGGCCATACAGGAACATCTGAATGAAGGCCAGCACCTCCATGTGAGGTGTCGTGAAGATGGTGGCGGGTTGGTCATGGTTCCATGGTAGCTGGAAGGCAGGCATCTCTGCTGGTCTGGGCTGGGGAACCCTGTATCCCCATCCAGGTGTCCTGCTGGCCATGAGGCATCACTGGATTTATGTTGAGCATCATGATCTCTATCATGTCCACCACCTCCTGGCCGATCGGGGTGATGATCAGGGCTGCCATCACCACTTCCCCTGCTGCTGCTGCTGCTGCTGCTGCTTGTGGTGCGGCTGGCCACACCACCATGCATGCTGTCACTGCTGGTGCTGAAGCCAGCTGTACTTGCATCACTTGTGCCATAACTGTTGCACTGTTTGTCGCTGCTGGAGAGGGTTACAAACAGTGATTTGAGGCAGTAGCATGGGAGGTAGCAGCCCTCATCATTCTCAGCTTCATTGCTGGAGGTGTCAGGTGAAGGCTGCCCAAGGCTGGGTGGGCAGGCACCACCGGGCATGGTGTCAGTGGAGGGCACTGCTGAGCTGGCAACCCCCACTGGTTCTGGTGGTCCAGCCAGCAGTGCTGTGTCTGCCACGGCCCCCCCCTTCATCACCATCATCATAATCATCATTTATGTTGACCTCTCGGAAGGCCACCCATGCTACATGGTTGGTGCTGCTGACCTCCTTTTCCAGCTCCTCATCAGGGAGTGCTGCCTGCATGCATATGAATAGGGCAGGTGTCAGGCGGCTGACAGAGGTTAAGGCCTGACATCTCCTCCTAGAGCGTCTGGGTTCTAATCTGCCTGGGTGTTTGAGGGGTGTTGAATAGGGAGGTGGCCCCCCATCTTGTGGACCATGAAGGATGTGATTACATCAACTTGCTAGCTGACCAAGAGATAATTTGAGGCGCCGTTGATATGCTAGATTTAGTTGGATGCTGGTGGTGAGTTGCTGAACCCAATGAAGACATTCTGAAGTCGGATGGGGTGAATGGATTAGGGTGCCCCTCTCGCAGGGGAGACCAGGGAACTGCCCCAGGAAAGGGGGCTGATGGTGAAGCTATACCACCCTGTAACAACATACATATGAATGGTCTCTTGTTGGTCTCACACCAAACATTATTACATGTCAATCTAGAGTAATAGCCATCTGGCCATCTGGTTGTGCACTGAATCATAGTGACATCAACATCAACCTTCACCACCAGGTGTCAGCACCACATCCTGACACTTCCACGTGCCAGGGCTGAGCTGCCACCCCTCAGATTCCATAGCCTATCATGTCAGTTATATCTACATCCCATTAGGACAACGGAACACTATATTGTGTGTGCATGATGCCTTCTCGTGTGCTTGGGCGGGATCCTGTCCTTTGGTGCCATCCAGCACCAGCACAATTCACCAGCTGTCACTCACAAGGATGATGACTTCAATGCTGTGAGGGTCATGGATTGGGCAGTCGGTGTTGGGTGGGTATGTGGATGAAGGCTGCATGTGTGGCCAGTTACTCATGCCACTGCTCTGTGCCCCCCACTTCACAGCCTTACCATATGCGAGAGCATACACATTGCACAGTATGTGTGATGTCCTTCTGATGGGCCAGTTGCAGCCGCGTGTTAGCAGCCCATAGAGCCAGGGCCGCTGTGCTGCTGGTGGTGCGCTTCTGGCTCCTATAGCTATCGTTGGAGCCCTGTCCATGGCTGCCACCATCAGCCATGCTCCTGTTGGCACACGACTGCATTGCAGGTTTGCATCCACCATAACACTTCTAAGCACTGCTTGCTTTGCAATTGACGACCCACGGGCCACCTCAACCAGGCGCCGTGAATTCCGACACCGCCGACAAGCAATGTCAGGATGCTCACCAGTATCTCCATGGTCGCCTCCATCACTCGCTCTGGCATGAGGGACCTCTCATCTATCACCAGCACTTCGAGCATATGGGAATCCTGGTCGTCTGCTTCCACCTCCGGAGAACGGGTCATGGCTATCGTTGCAGCAAAAATTTGTTTCATCCATTCCCCCGAATTTCTGATTCCGCCCCTATTCCGATTCTGATGCTTGCCTACTAGCACCGTTGCCCCCATTCCCGCAGCAGCAGCAGCTCGCGGCCGACCCCCACCCCTACCCTTGCCACCCCTACCCCCACGTCCACGGTTCACCAGTACCGGAGCTGGGTTCCGCCCAGCGGCATCAGCAGCAGCTCGAGGCCTGACCTCCAGTGCCGGAAGGGCCCCGTCGTCACTGTTGCTGATGGGCTTGGGATCCTGCACAGCGGTGGGATCCTGCAGGGACATGCGAGTTTGGGTTTCAGAACGGAGTTTAGCTAGATGATGGGGCTCGACACCAAGCGTGTGCTGCACAAGTTTGCCATATTTTTACGAGCGGTTGCCATTGTAATCGGTGGCACGCTCTCCCGAAAATCAGTAGAAAGGCCGCGGATGACCCAGGAAATCCCATCGAAAAGCCCGTGCTGTGGAGCCATGACTCGTGACTAGGGAGCCCTTGATGTGGGGTCTGGTAGGAAAGGCCGTGATGCAGTGTTTGTGTGGGCGACTGTGCCTGGGTACGTACCCATCGTACGACATGGGCCCCCCCGGTCCGCCCCATGGGGGCTTCAGTGGGTTCAAGTCCCGCATTGATCGAGGTATGTGGTTATGTATAGCCATGCCATCCTGCTTGGGTCGAGAATCTTTTCTTGTCGTGCTGATGTGGACAAAGATTTTGACGGTAGGAAACTTCATACAATTTTCTTGCGTAATTGTCTTTACATAACATGTCTTCTCACAAACTCGTCATCTCCTCAATATGTCTGCCGGTCCCTTTTTTTCCCTGTCCACTCACTTTTTCCCTGTCATTGCTCAGCCAGTACTGGGTGAGGCGTGCTGCCTGCAGACTGGCTCTGTGCTGTACGTGCTGAACGGCAATCTCAATAAAAGACGGGTGGGTGGTCTGGGTTGGGAAATGGGTGGCGAGGTCGGCAGGTGCATGGGAGGGTTTGGATCGTGCATGTACCATGTCTTGCGTGGCTAAAAACATCGTGCACTTGTGATTGGCGGGCGGCTGGCAGTAGTGTGTGCGGAATAGCTTCATGCGTCATGCCCATGAGCACTTTTTTCGCTGGTTGCCAAGTCAAGGCGTCGAGGCTTGATTGTCAAGACTGCTGTCGTTCGGCGTTTGAAGACCGATTATGTTTGATTCCTTCGTATGGTGTCAAGTGTGGGGTCCCGGGGTGAAGGTGTGCGCTATCTGAAGTGGATGGGGTCAACTGCGGGAGATGCAACCCGCCGATTGTGCACCGCACCAACGGAAAATCATTCACAAGCAAAATACAGGCTGCATTACAAGATACGGAACAGAAAGGTGGGGTGGAAAAACGCCAGAAAGGGAGCATAGGTGCAGGATTTCGATGCATCTTTCGTGTCTGGTGCTGAATTCGCCAGAATTCAAAAAATCGTATTGTGCACCAGATGTGCACGAAACGTGCGCCAGAAAGTGCGCAATTATTCGGCTAGTCCCTGTATTATAATATTTACTTTTCTCAAATGTTACACATAGTTTGCAGTTCCGACTGGCCTACATGTTGTGCATTCCTCCGCTTCACACATTTCGCCAGCTAAACTTATGGCAATAAAGTCCGACGAATGGCCTATGGAAGTTCAGGCGATTACGAATGGGAAGAAGTCGAGGAGGAGGACTGGGAAGTCATTTGTGTGGATGACGAGGAGCAAAAGACGGGAGTGCCGAGGACTGGCATTGAATTCACATTGGAAGCGGATGGTGCGTCATCAAATATCCATCCCTATGTAAAACGTCACGATCTCGGGTTACCCTGTGTGCGCCGTACTATGGAAGACACCATCGGGGGTTGCCCTTTCCTCTCTCCTGGGATACTTCAAACTCCCCAGGCAGATCGTTGACCCCGATTATAGAAGTGAGGCGAGAGGGCTCAGTGGGGTAGGAGGGGGTAGACGCTGGTTTACGGTCTACATCGGGGTCAGCGGCCCTAAACAGCAGACAAGGAGTGTAGTTCGCGGCGGTGTGGCTGGAGTGTAGCTCCCGCCCCCCGACCTAGCAGTTCATGTGGGTGGGGTGGGCTGGCTTGATGGCCAGCCCAGCCACTGCCCCGATGAAATTTACCAAGTTACAAGTTCCGGTCGCAAATGCGGGCCCCGGCTGTAAAACCCCCCGTGGAGGGGGCCCGCCGTCGACAGACGGTCAATAGCCATTCCTGCGGCGCCCGAGTGAGGACGTCGACATCGTCCTCTCTCGCTGACCAGAATCTTCCAGATGACCGCAATCGGCCCCCCACCGCTGTTTACTTCAGCAAGGGCCTCCAACTTCTAGAGCCACGTCTCTCCCTCTCTCACCCTCCCTCCCTCCCCCTCCCTCCCCCTCCCTCTCTCACCCTCCCCCCCCTTTCGGTCAGTTCTTTCGGTTGCTACTATCTTGCCCTGGCAGCAGCTTAAATCGCGTGTGGTTCGTCTTTCCCCCCCCTCCCTCTCTCACCCTCCCCCCCCCTCCCTGCCAACCCACCCGTTTTCCATCCCACACCCTCAACTCTCCACCATCACCTTTGCTTCCTTGAAGCGCGCCTTTGCTCCCTGCATGTCTGCCGTCCCCCCCCACCCCACCTCGGACCCGGACCTCAGAGCCCCAGCGCCGCACCAAGCGCACCATCACCAAGCGGGAGCGCGAGGCGGCCGCTGCCGTACACCGCAGTCACGTGCTGTGCCTCCTAGCCCGGGCCCTCCTCCTGGACTGGGCAGCGGCTCAGCCGGAAGTGCAGGTGGGTTCGGGGGAGGGGGGTGTAGACACTACTGTGGCTGTGTACGGCTGTCTGTCTGTCTGTCTGTCTGTCTGTCTGGCCTAATAGGGCTTTGGGGGCAAGAAGGGAACCGTGCCAGCGGGGGGACCTTGCCGAGCTGCCTGCGCAACCGCATTCCCCCACCCAGCCCCCACCCCTGCGGCTCCCTCGCCCTCCAAGGCCACGGCACTGTCGCTGCTGCCCCCCGGCTCGGCGCTCCGGAACCAGTCCTCGGAGGAGCCCCAGCGGGCCATCAACGGCATGTTGCCCCTGGTCACCTGGTTCCGGAGCACATTTGCAGTACTGCCACCGGACCTGGTAGGGCCCCGTACGGGACAAGGAACAGGGCGCCGCTGGAGGCCAGAGGACGAGCTGGACGAGCAGGTACGACACCGCCGGGAGAGGCTTTCCGTACCACAGCAACCGGCGATGTGCTATGTCAGGGAGAAGAGATTGTCATCCCTCTTTTCCTTCCATCCTTCCCGCCGGCATTCGTCTATTGCTGGTATCTGCTTCATTCGCCGGTGATTCGTCTTACCCGGCCGCCGGCGGGCCTCTCTCTCCTCCTCATTCGGTCTTAAGTACCGACGTGCGGCTTCCCTAACCCTCCCCCCCGCTCTAACCCCTCGCCGCACAAATACAAACTTACCCCCGTCCCAAACCCCCTGCCCAGTTGCTCCGTACAGCTCGCGCCGCGGCGGGCACTGTGGAGTGTCTGGTGGCCCTGTTCGCGGCGCTGGTGCGGGCCCAGGGGGGCAGCGCGAGAGTTGTACGACTGCTGGACGTCGTGCCGCTGGCGCCGTGGAGGGCGCGGCCGAAGACGGTACGAACAGTGGTCGCAACGGCAGGTGTGCCGCCGCCGCCGCCATCTGGCACTGGCGGTGGCGGTGGCGGTGGCGGTGGGTCCCGTCGTGCTTTGGATCTGGAGGCGGGGGATGAGCTGCCGCCGCCGCCGCCGCCACCGCCACCGCCGCCGGTATCACGGCCGGGTCAGGGCAATGCTGCTGCCGCCGCCGGGGGTGCAAGTGGCGGCGCTAAGGGCCGGAAGGGCCGTCGGCTGGAGGACGTGCTGGCGGATAGGGGTTATGGGGGCGGGAGGGGCAAGAAGCGGAGGGTGGAGGGGGAAGCAGGAGAAGGAGGCGCAGGTGGGGGTGGTGGTGGGGGGGTGAGCAGGAGTAAATCCACGCAGGTGGCTGTGGGGAGGGGGCCGGCGGAGGGGACCGCGAAGGCGAGGGGGGGAAAGCGGCAGAAAGAGGAAAGCAAGGGCGGCGGCGGCGGCAGTGTGCCTGCGGCGGAGGGAGTATGCTGTCCGGGACAAGATGCGGCGACAGCGGCGGGAGATGACGGCTGCAGGTACTGAGTTAAGATTTCTCGTTCTGTGGCAGACCGCGCCTCCGCACCTGTGTTGCCCCCTACCCCCTCCCCCCTCCCCTAACCCCTCCCTCCCTTTATTCCCACCACCTCGACCCCCCAGATCCCGGCCCAGCAATAAGGGTGACGAGGAGTTCGAGCTGCAGCTGCAAATGGCCCTGCTAGCCACAGGCAGAGAGGCGGAGGTGAGGAGGCGGAAGGGACAGGAGGGGGGACCTGCGGCGGACGGCAATGGCAACGGCGGGGGCGCTGTGCGATCTCAATCCCGCGGAGGAGCAGAAGCAGGAGGAGGAGGAGGAGGAGGAGGTGATGGACCCGGTGGCAAGGCGGTGGTGGCAAATGGATCTGGATCTGGATCTGGCGCGCCAGCTGGCACCGCCATGAGTGTACGACCGGAGGTTGTTGTCAGTTGTTGGGCTGAGGTGTACTGCGGCAGTGCCGACAAAGGACGTTGGATCCCGGTGGATGTGGTCAACGGCTACGTGGACAGGTACGCACGTATGTGTGTATGTGTATGTGTATGTATGTCCATTTGCTTTTCCCCTCCGTGCCATCCCTCCCGCCCTCCCACCCCCATTTTGGCCCCCCTGTCGTCGGTCCGTCTTTCCTTCTTGCATCATCACCATCACCAACATCACCATCACCAACATGACCATCACCAACATGACCATCACCAACATGACCAACGTCATCACGTAATTCCCCCTTCCCTCTTTTCCCTTCCGCACCCTGTTCCCGTTCCCCTGTTCGCCGTTTCCTTGATCGATATGTCGGCGAGTACTCCCTCCTACACCCCCCTCAACCCCCTCAACCTCCTGACCCAGCCAATCATTCATTCACCCAACCATTGCCCCCCCCTCTCCCCCCTCTTCCCCCCTCAGACCGGAGCTTATCGACACCGCCACTCAGCGCCCCACCCCGGTATGCTACGTGGTGGCGGCCGAGCTGGGAGCCCTGGTGGACGTCACCCCCCGCTACTGCCACAACCTGCTGGCGGCGAAACGGAACCGGGATGAAGCCTGGTGGACCGCTACTGCCGATATCGTACAGCGGCAGCCGGGGAGGTGCCTGGGGAGAGCGCCGCCGCCGCGGCCGCCATCGGGCCCTTTTGCCGGGGATACTACTGCTACTGCTGCTACTACTACTACTACTGCTACTAGGGGTGGGGATGGAGCTGGGGGTGGGGTTGGGGGTGCAGGTCCGCGGATTATTGATGCGAGATTGTCGCATCAAAGAGGGGAATGGGACAACGGAGGGCGCGCGAACGCGGCAGGGGCGGCGGCGGAGGCAGCGGTTGGGGTGACGTCAGCGCCAGCTGCCGTGCCGCACCTCAACAACAACCGCCTGGTCGCCGCCGCCGCCAGCGCGGGCGGTGGCAACCGCGGCTGTGTTGGTGGCGGCGGCGGCGGCGGCGGTGTTGGGGACCTGCGTGCGGCTCGCGAGGCGGCGGAGCTGCACCAGCGGGGGCTGAGTCAGCTCCAGGGACTGCCCACGTCCATTGAGGGGTTCAAGAGCCACCCCTTGTACGTACTGAAACGACATATTGGGAAGTACGAGGTACGGCAGTGCGGGCAACAGCAGTGCCGTACCTGTATTACGTGATAGTTGCTGCGGGGGGCTGCGAGGGGTGCGTAACCTCCACCACCACCACCACCACCGGGGTCGTTAGAGGGGCCGGGAGCACTGGGGATAGTTGGCTGTTGGGGGGGGGAGACGTGGTTTGCCCGTTTCCACTCCCTCCCACCCACCACCACCAGCTACACCAACAACCTTTAGAACACTATGAGAGCTTTTTTCTTGCTTTCTTTCCGCATTCTATTTTAGTCATGGCGGCGAGGTAGGTAATTTCCTACTACATCATCGCGAAGGCGCCTTCTTCTCTACAAGCAACTGCTTCCGTCTCGTGGAGCGTGCCAAAAAGGGTTTAACCGGGGATCTCCCCTTTTCCCCCCCTCATACCGCCCGAGCCCTATCCCGATACACCTCCCCATCCCCTATATCTCCCGCCACGGACCCGACGTAGGCCCCGAACCCGAACCGCTTTTCCTCCCCTTTTTTTCCACCCCTTCACCCCCCTTCCTCCCCACTGCCCACCGCCGCTACTTTGATTCAGTCCCTCCGCCCCGGTACGGCACCCCTGGGGCTACACCGGGGGGAGCCGTACTACCCGCGTAACCAGCTGAGTGTACTGCACACCGTGGAGAGGTGGCGGAGGGAGGGCCGGCAGGTGCGGGGGGGGGGGGGAATCGGCGGGGGGAGAGGATCCGCAGGTTTGGGGGGCGGGGCGGGGGAGGTCGTTGATGAGGCCAAGAACACCGGGGGCGGGGGGGAAAGCGGGTGCGGGATGAGGGGATGAGGGGGCATGGTGGGCGGGGGCGGTTCAGGAGGGGCCGTACATGAAGACGGGGGGTGGTGGGTTTGAGCCACCGCCCCTCCCCGCCCCCTCCCCAATCCGATGGTGTGGCAGGTGGCAGGTACGGGGGGTGGAGGGAGGTGAAGAGCCTCCCGCGATCACTTAGTCGACACAGCTGCACCCCCCTCCTCCCTTCTACGTCTGGTACACTCTTGCCCTGGCAGCAGCTTCACTCGTGTGTAATTCGCCTTTCCCCCCTCCTCCCCCTCCTCCCCCTCCTCACCTTGCTACCTCCTGACCGCCACCCCCCTACCTCATTCCCTCGTCATTTCCGTGGACGCCCCTTGCTGCAGCTGCAGCTGCTGCTGTTGTTGTTGTTTCTTCTACTGGATACCAAATTGTTGAATCACCACCCGGTGATGTGCCTAACCCTCCCCCCTCCCTCCCCTCCTCCCCCCTCCCTCCCCTCCTCCCCCCTCCCTCCCCCCTCCTCCCTCCCCTCCCCCCCGGCCCCCCCCCCGCCTAGCCCAGGTACGGGACTCCGAGTTGCGCAGCCCGGCCAAGGTCGTCAAAAAGCGACTGATGGGGGGAACAGCGGCGGCGGCGGTGGCGGCAGGGCCGACGGGAGCTGCACGTCGTACGGCATCTACGCGCGCCGGCGGCAAGGGACTCAACGGAGGCAATGACGAGGGGGAGGAGGATGGGGATGAGGACGTGTTGATGTTGGAGGTGCGCGGCGACGATGTGTGTGTGGTGGGGGGGTGTGCGAGTGCTGGGGCGGAAGATTGGGTAGGGGTGTAGCAGCAGTGGGGCCCCCAACCCCAACCCATCCGAGTCTCTAGGCTACCCCCTCCCCTCCTTTCCCAGCACTCCCTACTCCAACTTCACGTCGCCACCTCCCGCTGTTCACCGCCGCAACAGGCGGCCGGAGAGGGCTCAGCGGCCGCCGGTGCCGCAGACGGTGGCGGCCCAACCATTAACTTGTACGGCAGGTGGCAAACCGACCCGTGGGTCCCGCCTGTCGCCGAAGGCGGCATCGTACCCAAGAACGAACGTGGCAATGTGGAGTGCCCGCCCCTGGTTCCGGAGCTGCCACGTGGCACCGTACACATCACCCTTGGACCCGGGCTAGGCGCATTATGCCGTACATTGGGATTAGATTTTGCGCCGGGACTGGTGGGGTTTGAGGTCCAGGGGGGGCGCATGGTGCCAAGATTGGACGGCGTGGTGGTGTGTGAGGAGGTTTCGGAGCTCGTCGTGGCGGCGTACTTGGAGCGGGAAACGGCGAGGGCGGCGGCGGCGGCGGCGAAGCTGCGGCGTGTGGCGGTGGCGGCGTGGCGGCGGTTGCTCGGGGCTCTGAGGGTGCGATTGCAGTTGGAGCGGGATTATGGTGACGGGGACGGTGGGGGAGTTGCGGGGTGGAGTCGGGCGGAGGGGGGGAGTGGTGAAGGGAGAGGCGGCGCGGCGGCGGCAGCGGCGGTGGCGGCGGCGGTGGCGGCGCGAGGTGCCGACGCGAGACCGAAGGGGGCGGTTGCAGCAGCAGCGGCGGCGGCGGCGGCGGGGGCTGCAGGAGCAGGTATGTGTGCGTGTATTTATGTACGTATGTATGTATGAATGTCTGAGATGTATGTGGGCAGTCTGGTACGTGCCTTCTGCCTCTCTAACCTCCGACCAGCTGAGCACCTGTCGGTGTCCTCCTTCCCCCCGCCTTCCTTTGTTTTGGAAGATAGCACGTGGCTGGCCTGCTGGCGGAACCGTACATATGTGTGTATGTGTATGTATGTATGTATGTACGTGTCACTGTGCAAATCCCGTACAACCCACCCACTGGCCGTGGTGTAGCCCTTCAAAATCCCCGTCATTCACTCATTCATATCCCCTCTGGACGCGACCTGGCCTCATGTCCGCGTGCTTGGGCACGGGAGGACACCTCACCACCCTTTCCCCCCTCTCTTTCCCCCCCCCCTCTCTTTCCCACACACACACGCCCCCGCCAGGTGCCGGTGCTTTTGGAGCAGGTGCCGGGGCGACGACCGGAGCAGCTCAGATCCAGATCCAGCAGCAGCAGCAGCAGCAGCAGCTGCTTTCCGGTGCGGCTGCTGCGGGCGGGTGGGAGCTGGAGGAGGCCTTGGGTCCTGATACGCGTGCGGATGTGGAGGTGGAGGAGTTCTGAGTTTCACCTATAGTGGGGGGTCTGGGGATGCTACTGCTACTGCTACTGCTACTGCTACTGCTTTCGGCCACGCAATGTTATTGAATTGTTTTGCTCCGTATGACAATTTGGCGTGTAGCGGATGAGAGCACTGGACTTCTCTATGTATATCTGTCTGTCTGTATGTGGCACTGCTGCCGCTGCCGCTGCTGTGGGTGTACAATCCAACAGGACGTGATATGCAACATGTTACATGTATGTATGTATATATGTACGATGTACGATAAAATGCCGGGGCAGTGGGGCTGGGGGTGGATAGCGCCCCCGGGGAGGGAGTTTGCTGATGGCGGCGGTGGGGGTGAGGGTGGCGTCATGCCCCCCCCCCCGCACCACAAGCACCCCAGGAGGGGGGGGGCGCACCTGCCCGCGGCGAGGTGAACTTCAGTGGGGCAGAGCAGGCTCCTCAAGGCTGGGGAGGGCTGTCGTACCCTGAGGTGTACGGAAGGCACCCTGAAGATGGATCCTTCCCGCCAATGTACGGACTGGGGTCGAATAAGGCTGTACCCGGGGTCAAGGTGGTCTGTTGCGCTGTTGTTCCCTCCTGTTGTTGTTGAATGTGCTCTGTCGTCTGTTGCTCTTGTACGTTCTATGTCCCACACTCGTTGCCGTACCGTACAGGCTGTGTGTGAGGGGGAGGGGGAGGGGTATAGTGGTGCCGCTGCTGCTGCGGGGCCGGGTCGTATACCTGGTCGGTGGGGCCACAACCCCGTTCTCTTCATGGGAGCTGGTGGGTTGCCGCTCAGCAGGCGCTAGACAGGGTGAAGTCCTTAGCTTTGTCGCCCCACATCGTTGCGACCTAAAAGACGTAGCGAAATAAACAGCCATCACTTTAGGAAGCAACGAAGCATCTTGTAAACTACAAACCAGCAGGGAAATAAAGCCTCTGTTAGCTTGCCCGCACCGCCGGGCTCCCAAGCTTTCTACGTTGACCGACAGTGGCCGAGACAGAATCATGTGTAGGTCACAGGCGAACTGAAGAGGCCTTGGAGCACTTCTCGGCGTTATTACGGTCCTTCTAGGTCTGACGAAGATTATTGTTGCGGATCGTTGGTTGGTACTGCCCTCCAGGTCTTCTTCAGGGTTGCGACTTGGCTTGGAAAGTCAGTTGTCGTGTACCAGGTTTGCCTGCCCCTCCTCTCTACAGATCTGGCAACAGCCAGGTCGCTTGATACCTTCGTGAAAGTATTTTGACAAAAACTACCAAAGAGACACCAATAGTCAGATGGCCAGCCTACGTGCTATTTCGGCGAGTTCTTCCCCTTGTGGCTATCGGCAACGCCGTCGGAACTCCTTTCCTTCTGTTGCGGTCGCTTGCGGGTCTGAAAGCAGCAACAACCTGGTCCGGCTGCAGGCTAGACTGAGAGGTAGCGAAAGTCAGGATGCTCAGCAGGCAGAGCAACTCGCCAGTAAACCGCTCGTTGGCCCAGCGACCGCGGCATTTGCGGCCGCTGTGCTTCTCCTGGTGGGTGCTGTTGCCGCCTCCTGAGCACTTTTTCTCTTTTCGTGTCTGTCATTTCCAGATTATAACTTACGTTGTGCAGCCTTGATATGCTCTTCGTCTTTCTGCAAAGACCCATGGGTCGCTTGTTGCCCTGGTGCTGCAACAACACCGGACTGCCGCAGGGTCCAGATGCGCTGCTGCTATTCACCTCGCAGCGATCCACACGCCTGCACCGGATCATCCGCCATCCATCATATCGTCGGTTTCCTCCCGGCCTCACCCCCTTCATCCCGCTCCCTCCCCCTCTGCTGTTCTCCGCCGTACCCCTTCATGTCATCTGATCATCAGGCGACAACAGTTTTCCCCTTGAGGCTCAGGAAAAGTATTGAATGTTACAGCGGCGCCCGACCGACTCGTATGCGACGCCCTAAAACCAGCGCCACCCTCGCAACATCGCGGGCTTCAGTAACCCGTGACTAGCGCTACTCGCACCCACGCGACATATTTACGACCCGTGCATGGCCGTGCACAGCTCCTCTAAACCCTAAAAACCCTCCCCCGTTCCGTCTGAACTCGGCCCCCTCAAGGCCCCAGGCCAGCTGGCTCCCCCCGCCCTAGCAGCTGAAGCGGTGTCGAGCCGTGGTGGTGCTGATGGTGGTGACGTGGACTTCCTCCGTGGCGGTTCCGGCACCTCCTCCAAGCTGTCGGACCTGACCTCCTGGCTCACGGATAAGCTGCGGCCTCCGGAGCCGGAGCCCGTACGAGTGGGCAGTATGGAGGGCACCAACAACCGGAGCAACATCGTGCAGGGTGAGAGCGGTGGCCATGGTGTGAAGGTGGTGGTGGGACACGAAGGCGAAGGAGCTGTGAGGGTGAGGGTAATTGATCCGGGACCTGACGGGGCCCGGAACAACGACTTCCCAGCCCCAAGCGGTGTGGTAAGGAGGGAGGGAAAGGGCCCACCGCGAAGGGGTTGAAGGTGTCCAGCGTCTAGTAGGCGCTTGAGGGGGAAGTTGGAAAAGTCGCCGTGGGCCTCCGGATCCTGCATGCCCCCCTTACGGGAGGCGGGTTGCCAAGAGGTGGGGATCAGGTGCGTGTGTGTCTTACACCTCCTGCGGAGTTGGCGAGGTGCGTTATTACCTTCCGACCGAAGGTGCCCAAACCTGGCGGCCCAGACAAGACAAGCCGGTAGCGCAAGGGCCAGCCAGACTTCATAAAGTGCAAAAGGAAAACCGATTATATGAGGTCATTATTATTGGGGGCCTTGCATATCGCGACTTGATGCCGAATCTGGACGCCATGCAGCGTCCTGACGCAGTGACGAGGAGCACGCAGAAATTCGCAGGGAACGCATTGTTTTATTGTTGTTGCTTGCTTACCTGGTTCCGGCGGCCCGTAGGAGTCAAGGATGCGGCCTCTGCCGCCGCCAACAGGGCAGCTGATGCTGCCAGCAAGGCGGCGGAAGCCGCTAATCGCGCAGCGGAACGTAGCGGCCTAACGGCCTCCCCCAGCCGCCCTATCGACGTCCCCACCAACTCCGAGCTGCTATCCGCCGTAGCTAAGCCCAGCCCAGCCCCAGGCAAGGGCCCTGTGGAGGAGGCGGCGCGGGCTGAGGCCCGGTCCGAGTCTTCGGAGCCGGCGCTGCGGGCCGAGGCTGTGGCGGCGGGTCGGCCTGAGCCAGCGGTGGAAGGAGGCAAGGTGAGGGCAGTGGCGAGTGGCCTCTGTACGTGTGGAGGGTGGCTGGCTGCCTGTGCGGACCTTGGCGTCTAGGAAGATTGGTTTTCAAGCTCCTGTGTTGTGGCTTTGGGTGTGCACGATCTAGTGCGGTGTAATAGTAGTGCAACCTATGTAACACACATATACGACACCCGTACTGCGCCCCGAAGATGCGCCCCTGAGCCCGTGTGTCCAACGGCTGATCGTGGGTGGCTTTGAGCGTGTTTTCGAAATTAATCGGAATTTCCGCAATGAAGGCATGTGCATGTGTAAACTACACGTGTGTGTGTGTGTGTTGCCTTCAAGACAGGTGCTTATCCGGATTGTGGGGGCTGCCGGCGGCCGGGGGGGAAGGGGAACCGCGTCACTGCGAGTATGACACGACCTCCCCTCCTCCCAATCGTAATGACCTTGGCTTCCCCCCCACCGCCTTCCCTCCTGCCTGCGCACACCCCTCCCCCTCCCCGTCGCGTCCTTCCATCAGGCCAACTGTAGCGCCCCCTAGGAGCCTGAGGATCATAAGCTGTGGGGGTCTCGTCCTCGCATGCAGGATGGAGGGAGGACGGAAGATTCGGCGAGTGTCCTGTCCTGTCGCGCGGCATGCCTTCACCACAGCTGTCTGAGCTGTGGTAATGCCCGGGCCCGGGGGAGGAGGTCGATAGCGGTACGTATGAGGGCGATTTTTCGTCGGTCAGGTTTGAGGGGCATGTTCCCAATCAGGTTTGCGCTCAACAACGTCTCGTCTCCTGTCATGATTGGGCCGTATTGTGGTTTGGCTGTGGTTTGTCAGTATCATGTGGTATAGGCGATTTGGTGTTTTCTCCACCGGGCTTTCCACTGGGCTGGTTGAGGTGTTCTCTCCTTAGCTTGCGATACTGGCATTGGTAAGCTCTGCAGGCATGCGGATGGTGATGGTTTGGGATGTAGGCACTGCGACGTCTCCCACCTTCGGCCGGAGGGTTGCAAGTGACCCTTCTGCTTGGGGTGGGGCGAGGCGAGGAAGGGGTGGGAAGCGTGTGACTAGGCGACTATGCTGGCGCATGGCACATGGGGAGAGGTGGAGGGACTAAAGAGGCGCAAACAGCCGGTGGGTTGGACTCGTTGGAGCGCTGTTGAATGGGGGTTGATGACGAGCCGGGGATGTAACTGATGCAACTAATTGTGCCAATGCAGGAGAATACACAGCGAAAACAAACGGATTGTAACAGCATGCAGTGTGCACACTGCAACCTGCGCTTGAGAGGAGTGGGAAGATGCCGTGCGACTGTATGGAGCAATGCGGCAGCGTTGACCAGCTACGAGACAATATCCAAGAGATACGAGACCACGACTCTACCGCGCACAGCGATAATAGGGATATTAGGGAACTGCACGGGCTTCGAACATCATCACACTCACGTACACACACACACAGCACACGTGCCAGGATACATTTCCACCTATGGCATCCCCTCTCGCAAGTGAAAGGCAGGAAAGGGTGTGCAGAGTAAGTCGCGGTAATGTCTGCAAGCGCAGCGAAATATTCACTCAAAGGACAACGTCTTTGAAGCAAACCGACAAGGAAAATGGCTCATCTCAAAAACGACACGCGCACACAGGTAAGTGTCCGAATACAAAGTTGACGCGCCGTCGTTGATGCGCCGTCAACCGGAAACATCGTCCCCAAGCTACTCCTTGATGCTGCTGCCGCTGGTCGATCAAACAAATGACCATTCCTCCTCCTCCTCCCTCCAAAGCCTACTCTGGTCATATTGGTCAGTTATTGTTCGTCAGTGCACTCATCAACTTCACCACACTCGCGCCTAATCCACAAAAATGTCAAAACACTCGCACATCTCCTCCAGGGATGCAAGTAGCAACCGGCCACGCCTCTCCTCAAGTGACGTCATTGCGTCTACACCCCCGTCCGCCCCCCTCGCTAGCCCGTACACCTCCCTCCACTCCACTCCCATCTCCCTCGGGCCCTCCTCTGGCAATCTCCGGTGGGCTATTGCCAACTACCGCCGAGTACGCCACCAAAAGGTCCTTCCCGCTCGACTCCTAACGCTCTACAGGACACAGGCACAACGCTTCCTCAAACCCTCGAGGGCCTTGTCGCCCCTCCAAATCCCCTCTCTCCTCTAATCCGCACCCTTCTCTACCCTCCGCGCAATCACGACAGCGCACTCGCAATGGCTGAGGCCACCTCATCCTGTGCCCTGTCCGCCTTGAGTGCCACCACCTTCCTGGCGTAGTGCTCAATGACGGGGGCAGTCTGGCTGTGGAATGCGCCCAGACGCGCCTTGAGCGTGTCGGCGTTGTCGTCCTTGCGCTTAATCAGCGGCTCGCCAGTCGTGTCGTCCACGCCGGCAACCTGGAGCGGAAAGCGAAAAGGGAGAAAAGAAAGAACAGGCACGCGTGTGTGCTCATCATGATTGTCCGAGTTCAATTCCCATCGGGGGCAGCCGGTGTACAGGAGACATGTCCACGTGGTGAAGAGGACTGCTCGTCACCGGACAAGGTGAAACCTTCGTCTTGAAAACCTTGAAAACCCCACAAGAACTCGAAACGGTCGACAGGAATGAAAAAGGGATTTGGAAGACAGGGCCCCAGCGGCTGCGGTGATGGTGCACAGCTGTGGGGAGACAGGGCCAAACACGTCCGCACTCGCGCTCGCAGCCCACCATCCACAGAGCCACAACAAAATGGCGTTCTTCCAATGCCCCGACTTCACAACGGCGGGCGCCTGCCGTGTTCGACGGGACAAACCAACCCAACCCGCCGAGTAAAGCCTGCCTCCCCTACCCCGGCCTCCACCATGACGGTTCATAAACACGTAACCAGAACTGCGTTCGAAGTCACCGCCGAACCGGGCCTTGAAATCCGCCTTGGCAGCATACGACGGCATGGACATGAAAAACGTGCATGAGGCGACGCACCACCCATAATGCGTCCTCGCCTTTGCTGCCCTAGCTCTGTATTTCGACGTGATAAGTGATGCCCGCCCTTCCCAGCAGCACCCAGCAGAGGCCTCCATGTCACCGTACCTTGGGCGGGGCAAACTTCTCATGGTACGAGCGCCCGCTGGCTGGGTGCACCCACCGCCCCACGACACGCTCCACCTGCGAACACACACAGATGGAAGAGTAATTATTAACGTTTATTGTCTCCCACTGTTTCCTACCTTCTTTCTCCCACACACCCACCGTGGTCTGATACACACGTAGGGACAGACACGTGGCCTCCTAGCCCGGGGCCTCCCCTCTCCTCTCCCCGCCAGTCCCAAATCCTTATACGCGGTCCTCCCTACTCCTCATCCTCCAATGCCGCATTACGTCCGCCCTTTCCCACCCCTTCCTCAACGCCCCGCCCCCGAGTGGCTTCTGGCCTCTACCCACCAGAAGGGAGTCTGGAACCACGAAGTTGAGCACCTTGTCAATGGCCTGACCCCGCTTGGCCAGCATCTCATCAAGCTTACGGGCCTGGGGACGTGTGCGCGTGTGTGCGTAGGTAGGCAGGCAGGCATACGTGGTGTGATGCGACGATAAGGGTGATAGAGCACAGGTGATGGCGGCGTAATAACATCATCGGTACTCGTGTCGGCAAAAGGAGGATGTGCCAGGGCGATGGGAGCGGCGAGCGTGTTCCTTGGGATACGATAAGTATCGTAGGTGCGTAATACTGCGGGCGAACCGCACAACGCCGCAAGGCCCAGCCACAAGGCAGTGCTGGGCCGCCGCAGGGGCTTCGCCTCACTGGACGGGGAGCGCTGTGAAACGGGTACGCCTTACGTGCGAGTTGCCATTCATGGCCCTATCAGGGTATTCCCTTATTACGATAACCACGCTCTCCGCGCCACTTACTGCCGCCGTCCTGCGTTCCATGTGCTAGGGGTCAAATTAAGAAAATGGAACCCTAGCTGGCCTAGCGTCCTCGTACACTGCATAGCTATCCGCTCAATCGCGCTCCCTCCTTGTCAACTTTTATATGGGTGCATGCGGACCGGAACACCCCTCTTTCCGCCGTCCTTTCCCTTTGTTATCCTCCCATGTGGCTAGCAGCTTTAGAGGCTCGCCGACCTGTCCCAAGCTCACCTGGACGACTGTACGCGGGAAGCCGTCAAGGATGAAGCCCTTCGAGCACTCGGCTCGCTGGGTTGCTTCCTCGATGAGACCCACGACAATGTCGTCGCTCACGAGCGCTCCAGCGTCCATGGCCTTTTTAGCCTGTAAGACGCAGGAAACAGCGACTGCTTGGTACGCTCCATCGCTCCAAAGATTAAAATGTTAAAATTGTAAGTAGTATATGGTATTGTTTGAAACGGCGCAAATTTGTATATACGTGCCCAACCGGTCGCTCTAGCCCAACGCGCGTTAGTTGCTCCCACAATTGCGCCCCCAAACAAGCGACCCGCAATTTGGGCGCACCAGTCAAGTCGAAATATATGACGTCGAACGAGAACCTTATTGGCAACGGTTTCACATTATACTCTAGAGTAGGACGCCTGGACTTCTCTCGTGCGTCGACAGTTTAGGTAAAGAGCCCAAAACGAAGGGAGTCTGCACATCTGATTGCTTCTTTGCGCACCTCAAGCCCCAGCGGTGTCTTGGCAGCCACAGCCGCGCGAAGCATATCACCGGTTGCCAAGTGACACAAGCAATGCTCATACTTGATGCGAGGCGACTGAGTACCCTTACCGCACCCAGGCGGACCTGCGACAAGCAAACATGACAATCCATCAATTTTGAACGCGGCGCCCTTTCTAAACCAACGCTAGCGCTGTAGACTCTGCGGCGTCGAGGCGTTTAGCCACGCCAGCGCGCCGCCATAACAAACAAGCCAACGCTCACCGATCAGGATGATGCGTTTCTCCGGCTTCGTTGTGCAATCCAGCCGATGCTGAATTTCCTTCATCAGCTCATCAGTCGGCACTTCGGACAGATCGACCGGCATTTTTGCCAGTAGTGAATCAAGGAGACAAGGTGAAGCAAGTAAAGCGCACAATACAGCGTCAATTTGAAAAACCTCTATGACTTGCCGCAAGGGAAAAGTCGTAACCGTGGTACGGTGTAATGCGGTTGCGCTTCCCAAACTGTTATGACATGTGTCATACCGGCGGTTATGCACTGCTGCATTATTGTCATGTACGAAGGAGGCTAGGAGGTGGCAAGTGCTTGCCCGTGCACATGGCACACGCCGTCGGGGAGCTTCCCTCTCTAGCCTTGCAAGTGTGTTCTTACATGACTTTGTACATGACTATGTACTGGCGCAAATATATGACTTTGTTTGGACCCCAAAATGCTGACAGAACAACACTGACGTATTCCGGAACAGGTTGTTGGCTCGTTCCTGCCTCCACGGTCCATCGCGACTTGCCGGCTCGTGTGTCGACAATGGAGGATAGCATTTGCAGCCAGCGTGGAGGCCATTCACGTAAAGGTGCTCCCATGTGATACCGCTGCGCGGTTCTAATATCCAGCCTTACGGGTCCCGACAAGCCAATCCCGCCACGATGCACAAATACGACTCCCTTACCCTCGTCTCCCGGTCTCCATTCTAGATGTCGACTGCTTAACTTCTTTGTTATTTGTATCTCTCTCTCGAATTTCAGGTGTTTTTGGACCCTGCTCTCACCGACCACCACATAGCCGCCGCAGCAGCTATCTTCCCCGCCGCCAGCCGCGCGGTCCTGCACTTGCCCAACTGGATCCATCTGCCGTGCAACGTGTACGACAGCTCTGGAGCTGTCGTCACCGGGACTCCCCTCGGCCGACGAAGCATCGCGGCCAACGCGGTTCGTCGGGCGGCTCTGCTGCAAATCGCTGAGGACGGACCTGAGCCACCCTCCTGGTCGGCCCCATCACGTACGGTAGCTGCAGCTGCTGCTGCATCGGCTGCCGCTACTGCTACAGTTGCTACGGCAGCAGCTGCAGCGTCACACCCGCCAGCTGATGTGGCATTGGCGGCGCCGCGGCCAGGGGTGGACGGCTCCAAGGGGCCGCCAGCGCAACAGGAGGTGAAGGCCGGGCTGTCGAGACATCCGGCTCCGAAGCCACAGGACGCGGGCCGGGCTGCTTGTACGGCAGCCCTCCTGTCCCTGCGTCGTCATCTGCCAGGTCTCCTGGCGCTGCAGGTGGGCACCGCGCAGCGCCCGGGGCCGCGCCCCGGACCTGCGGCTTCCCTGCAGCGGTGCCTGGACCCCGAGGGGGAGGCGGTTGCGGCCAGAAATTCCGGTCTGGATCCGGACTTACGACTGTATCCAGATCCAGATCCAGATCCACCTTTCCTGGATCCGAAGCAGCTGGTCGTGTACAATACGGTTGTAGAGACAGCGCAGCGAGAGGCAAGCGCCCATGCGAGCTGCTGGAGCTACCCCGCCAGCTTGGTGCCGCCGGAGGAGGCTGTGAAAGGAGGAGGGCGCTCCTCCTCCCAGGCGCTTAACGCAGCGGAGAGGGCGGCGGAGAGGGAGGTGGTGGGGGCGCACCGCTTGCCGCTGGACCTCGCGCCGCTGGTGCTGCCGGCGGAACGGGAGGTGCAAGCGCCGCTGGCATACCTCGACCTCCGTTGCCCTGTTGACCTGGCGGGCCTCGTAGTGGAGGCGGGCAAGATGGAAGGCGGTGGCGGAGGCGGAACGGCCCTGACGGCAGGACTGACGGGGCTGACGGCGCAACAGCTTCGTGACGGTGGCCAGCTGGCAGTGCTGCGGCAGCTAACACGCCTGGCCTCCCTCGAGCTTTGGTGCTGTGACGTCAGCGGTCGAATGGATGCGTCGTACTGGACGTCGGCGGCACCGCAGCGCATTCGCCGGGGACTACCAGCGCTGGCGGCAGCGCTGACGGCGTTGACAGCGCTGGTCGTACGGGAGCTGGTGACGCAGGTGGAGCCGCCGCCGCCTGTAGCGGCGCTGGCGGCGCTGCCGCTGTTACGCAGCTTGACGCTGGAGCTGTTGTACAGCACTTCTGCGGACCCCTGGCAGGAGATGGCGGAGATGGCGGAGCAGCTCGAAGAGGAGGGAGAGGGGGAGGGGGAGGGAGAGGAGGAGGAGCCTGCGGTGACGGCGGCGGCGGCGGCTGCAGCTTTGGACGCTTGCATCAGCGAGGATATGTTGGTACTTGGGCCCCGGGCCTCCGCGATTAAGAGGGTCATCGAGCGGCACTGGCGGCAGCTGCGTGCCGCCGCCCCCCTGGACCTCTTCTCCTGCTTCGCTCCCCCCCACGACCGCTGTGGCCCGAGGGGCGCCGGCGACATCCTCAGTGGGGACAGTGGGGACAGTGGGGACAGAGAGCAAGGAAACGGGAATGGGCTCATAAGGAGCGGGGGAGGAGGAGGCGGAGGAGAAACAGGAGTAGCTGAAAGCTCGTTCGCCAGCTGCGGTGGCGGTGGCGGCGTCGCCGCGACGGTGCCGACCCACGGGTCGCTGACCCACCTTGACGTGACGTTCCTGGGCGTGGGGCTGCTGCCTGGCGCCTGGCACGGCATCTGTCACCTAGCGGGCAGTTTGACGCGGCTGGCGTTGCGGGTGGGTCGGAGCCCCCGGGAGGAGAGGCTGATTGCCAAGTGAGTACCGGCGTGAGAATGAGTGAGGGTGTGTGTGTGTGAGAGAGAGAGAGAGAAAGAGTGTGTATGAAAGTGTGTCGCTAATTGGAGGCTATGGGAGGACTAGGGTGTGATGATAATGATAAGGATGATGATAAGGATGCAAGACTCATAACTGGCATCCAAAGCCCTCGTGGTGGGGTGAGGGGGGTTCCAAGTGGGAGGCACGAACCCACGTCAGGTCGGGGCTCGGACGCGCCTCACTGAGCCTCGGGTTGGGCGTGTGTGACTGCCGTACGGTACGGTACGGTGCCGATATCTGTCATCTGGTGAATATCGTAAACGGTAACTGCTTTGCGTTTGGCATTTGCAGTTGGCATCTACCGGGCTCTACCGGCTAAGCTTCCTCGCTTCCTGCTGTTGGGCTCCGCCGTGCCACTGTGCACGCACAGTGTGCGTAGGGGGCCTTCCTGTGTGCCGCTGCGGCCTGTGTTGCCGCAATGTTGCTGGGGTGGGGTGTGGTGTGGTGGGTTATTTCTCCCCCCATGCACACACAGCCGGAGGCGCGGCCGTAATGCGCGGAATGGACAGCTCTCCGCTGCTGCGGTTCTGCCATCCGTCCGTCCGTCTGTCCGTCCGTCTGTCCGTCTGTCCGTCCGTCTGTCCGTGAGCAGAGGACGTGCATTCTTTCGTTAGCCTAGTTAGGTAGTTAGGGTAGTTAGGAGGCAATGGCAGGCCATGTAACTGCGGCCCAGCCCGCTGTGCCACGTACAAGGCACCAACCAGCTACCGTACCGTGCTCTTGAACCTGCCGTACCTTTGGTACTCCCGTACACACGCATACGTCGTGCGGTTCATCGGGATCCGTAGGGGGGTAATCCCCGCAATGGCCCCGACCGCGTGATGTAACCCGGATCTTGCCACTCCAAATCATCACCCCCGGTAATGCTCCTGATCCGTGCTGTACGGCTTTGCCGCCCGGTTCCTGTCGTACAGCCTGCTCTCTCGATACCCCGGCCGCTGGCCGCCCGGTTCCTTCTCCGTCCCGGGCCCCGGCCCCGCTCTGGACGCCCTTCCGCACCTCCGCCACTTGATGCTGGACGTCCCCCTGGAACCCGACCTGGCCGCCAGCTTGGTGGCGAGGGAGCTGGGCACCCTGCAAGGCGCGGAGCAGCAGAGGGATGGGGCCCAACAGCAGACCCAACCCCAGCAGCAGCCCCAGCAACCGCAGCGTCTGTTCCCACCTCGTCGTCAAGGGCAACTGGCCCGCCTCCCCGCGCTGGAGACTCTGTCGCTTGTCGGTATGTGGAGCGAGGCCAGTTCGACAAGCTTTGGCAAGAGTACGGCAGTGGCTGCGGAATCTGGGGCTGCTTCGGCGTCATCCGTCGCGTACGGCAACCATATGTCACCGCCGCCGTCGCCGTCGTGGCCGGAAAGGGGAGTAGCAGCACCGGCAGCGCCAGTGGCAGTGGCAGTGGCGCTGCGCACACTGCACCTGGAGGGCGATCTGCGCCACCTGGTCTCCGATATGGCTGCAGGGGTGCTGTGCGCCACGCGGGTTGTCGATTTACGGCTCGCACACCGACCCGCGGGTCGCGCCACCCAGTGGAGCGAGGGCAAGGTCAGTGGTGGCAAGGTCAGTGGTGGCAATCAGCTGCACAGCTGCAGTGGCGGCGACGCTGGCATCGATAGCGGAATGCTCCAGGGAAGGCTGCCGCTGCAGTGGGCCCTGGTACCTCCGGGGCTGCAGGCACTGGAGCTGGAGGGGTTTGACGTGCAAGGCCACGTAGGCGATGACGATGACGCCGGGCGAAACGTCGGCAGCAGCGCCACCGATGCACCTTGTCGAGGCCGGGGCGGCCTTTGCAGCCTGGAGCGTCTGCGTCTGCGGCATTGCGTCGTCGCCCTCGACGGTGTGTACGACAGTCCGCTGACGGAAGTGGCGGTGCAAGCGTGCTGGCTGACGACCATCAAGGGGGGTGGTATGCGATTTGCGGCATCGTCTTCAACTGTTGCCGCTGTCCCGGCTGTAACGGCTGTAACGGCTGCAGCGCCATCCGTAAAGCCGCTACCGCCATGGGATGTGGCCGGGCAGCTACAGCTGCTGTGTCAGCAGCCGTGGGCGCCACGATTGCTACGACTTGATGTACAGCTCGTCCGATTACCGTACAACTTGGCATTCTCACCCCTAGATACTCTGTTTTCACTTTCACAAAGGCTGCTGCCTAGCCCGGACTCCGCAGCGGCAACGCCATGTTATCCTGGATCCAGACCTGAACCGGAATCATTTATATCTGGATCCGGAACTGGATTCAGATCTGTGTGCACTGCCCGCCTGCACAGCTTGGAGCACCTGAGCATCACCTGGGAGCTGGCGGCGCTGTCGGGCCGTGTCGGAGCTCTGCAGCAGCGAACCACCGTAACGCCTACCACTGTGGCTGTACGGCAACTACGTGTCCCTCGTGCGGGGCTGACAGTGGAGCTGGCGGCCCACTGGGTGGCGGCGCTGTCCCCCTCGTTGCGTTCCTTGGAGCTGTGGTTGGCCGACGAGGCGCAGGAGGAGCCTCTGAGTGTGGACTCCTGCTGCGGCCCCTGGCTGCTGCGGCATCGGAATTTGAGGCGGCTGCGGCTAGTGCTGCTCGTGAGCTGTGACCGCGGAGCGGCCCGCGGGTCGGCTGCGGCCCAGTGTGCCGGCAGTCGCAGTAGCAATGAGGCGGGATGGGACATGAGCCGTGGGAACAGCAACAGCGACCAGGGTGAGGATGGTGAGGATGATAATGATGATGAGGAGGAGCAGCAGCAGCAGCAGCAGATGGAGGGGTGTGTGAAGGGGTATTCTGGAAGGGTTGGGGAGGCTTCGAGGGCCGCTAGGGGCTCCTGTGGCGGTTGCAGCGGGTATGGTTTCGGCGCCGCCGCTGCCGACCCACCTTCCCGACCCGAGGAGCCTCGCGTTGCCTCCGCCTGGGCGCATGCGGAGCTGGCGGATCTCCTGATGACGTGCATGCCGTACTGCCAGTGCCAGGCCGTGCAGATACGGCTCGATTAACATGGTGCCGGTGTTGCTGTCCATGTATTGCGTCGATGCGTTGCCCGATGGGGCCCCAGTAGTCTGCGGTCAGAGCTGCAGAGAATTCATTTTTAGTTGAAAAATGGGTCTTAGGTTTTGCAGGCTGCGGCTGGACGTGCGTCAGGCCCTGGCAATACCAAGGTAGCGGAAACCACTGTGGGACGAAATGTCAACAGGTCCCCTCGGCTTTTCCAGGCTGTGTGGTCGTACTGTCAAGTACGCTGTGCTTCCTGATGTAAACCCCCGCGCGTATCAATAATCATACAGCGTGTGCTGCAGGAGGCATGCTAATGGTGGGGCTTTATCAGTGAACCACGCTCTTTAAGATTAACGGCATCCTTTGGACTGGTATCCCCTTATGGGTCGGGAGGTGCGGCAGCTGTGTTGGCCATGATTCAGGAGGCTGCGACGACCTGTTGGGAAAAGGGACGTTAAGAGAGGAGGTGGGCAAACAAGTTGGAAAGAGTCGTGACTTGTTGCACACTGGCTGTCACCAGGCTGGCATGCCGCTGGCCGCGCTCTCACGGTATAGTCTCACAACAGAGTTTGGCGCTTAACTGCATTCCACCGTGTTTGTTGCGTTGTTTGGTGTGTTAGCACCGGCATCGTGCGGGAACCGTCGTGCTGGTGCGGCCTTACCCGGAGGAGGTGCGAAGGACGCAAGGTACCAAGTTACAGCTCTCCCATCGCCCACATCGCCGTAGCCGTATCGGTAAATCGCGGTAGCGGCACTTCCCGTGAGGTGGTAACATTTTTCCAGATGACATCTCATCCAATCCTGGGTCGTGCATTTTTTTTACGTTGGTTTCGGTCATTTAGGATTCGTTTGCGTTTGTCATAACCAGGAAAGTACCCGGCATGAGCACCGTCGCGACCTCTTCCTTGCATTCCTTTGAGGGCCTCTCACCTGCATTACCTTGAAACCCACCCGCTCATGAGTCAGAGCACATTACTCCGGTGTTCCTCCCCGAAGGGGAACTTCTTCCCCTCCCGCGCGTGTCAGGGTTCTCCCTCCCTCCCTCCCTCTCCCTTCCTCCCTCCCTCCCTCTCCCTTCCTCCCTCCCTCAGTGTGGTTATTCAGCGTATTAATGTATCAAGAATGTGTCGATCAAGCGTGCATCGTACCCTTATTACCTGACCCGCACAAAGACGGCACTTCTGCAATAATATGCAAAACCCTGCTGCTCACAACCCGCCAACTGCATCAACAAACGTCATTCTTGTGTCTTATTAAAAAGGCGGAAAACTGTTCCTGGCAAAATGGTACACCCAAATGGCCCGACACCGCAACGCGCCGATGTGCGTGTACGGCATCTTTCTTCTCCAGGGCTCTTGGTTTATATACTTCGGTGCGAAGGGACAGGGAAGGGCTGCCAGGCAAAGGGGCGCGAGGGGAATATGCACCTCGTTGACCTCTAAGACGGTGTGTCCTAGCTGACAAGTGACTGGCACCTACAGACATACATATCTACGCACACCAACTCAATCACTGGCGCCGAAACCTGCGGGAAGTCAATACCCGGCCATCGCAGCCGTGAGAGGATCTTGCAGCGAACGCTCTTTCCTAATCGCAAACGTTAAGAGTGTAGACAAGACATCGGAGAGGAGGACCGCAGCAGTCCACGCAGAGGAGGTTAAGGTGGTCTACTCCCAGGTCTACTCCCAGGTCTACTCCCTACGCCGATGCGATACCTATTGAACTTAAAATTGGCAAGACATAAGAACAAATTACGTAGAGGAAGGGAACCGGGCGATTGCAGCCCGGGAGCATTTTTTTAGACGAAGACGCCTGTTGCGCCACGCCACCTCTCCACGGCCCTTGCACCAATCCACCACTTCACGGACTGCCGAAACCAGCCTGCACCTGGGCGGCTGACAGCGCAGCAGACGGCCCTGCAGCCGCCAGACGCTCGACCTCCATGACCGCTGTCATCTCGCACTGCAGCCAGTGCACCAGGTGACTGAAGGGCGGCCTGTCCCCCGGCTCCCCCACCCAACAAGCCTTGATGAGGTCAGCCAGGAAGGGGGGTGTCCACCCTGGCAGCTTCGGCCGCCGGCCCCTCACGCTCACACGAAAGATGATCTGCGGGGCGCGGGAGGTGTGAGGCGGTTGAGGGGCCGGTGGGGGCAGTAGGGGCGGATGTGATGACGACGGGCAATCGTGTGAAGGAGCAGCATCATGAGCGACCAGACGGTGGTGGGACGCGGCCTAAGCGGGCAAGCGACCTAAAGCCCCCAAAGCAAAGTATTTACAGGAGGCACCCGAGCCGTGGAGGAGGCCTTCCTCCTCCTGACCGGAGTGATGATAGTTCGCACATTCCTCTGCAAACCTGCACGTCGCCGTCCAGCCAGCTCCAGGGCAACACCCCCGTAAGGCACTCGTACATGGTCATGGCGAACTGTAAAGGCAGGACAGAACAGGACGGAACGGGACAGGGTCGCAGGGACGGGTTACCTCGCGTGCCTGCGTATGTCTTTAATGAAAGGAGGAAGAGAGAGACAAAAAGGAGAGAGAGAGTGAGTGAGTGAGAGAGAGAATGGGGAGAGAGAGAGAGGGAGGAGGGAGATGCACCGATCTGCAGTCCAACGTCAGCATTGGCGGCACTGTGAGAGCCAGTGAGTGCATCACGCAGGCATGTGTGCATTCGCGCTGTCCAGGGAAACTCCGTAGCACTTGTAGCACAATAACCCACTGCGCAGTACCCGCAGTGTGGGCCCATTTGCTCCCCCCCTACACACAGAGACACACACACACACACATCGACACACACACACACATAGACACACACACACATAGACACACACACACATAGACACACACACATAGACACACACACACACACACACATAGACACACACACACACACACATAGACACACACACACAAAGACACACACACACTCACCGCATACACGTCCACCTTCTCAGAAATCATGCTCCCCTCAAACTGCTCGGGCGCCTGGTGAGGGAGGGAAAGGGCAACTTGGGCAGGGGAGTGGCCGGGCACACGAATGCCCACGTCTGCTAATGGAAAGAGGGAAGAGAACGAACATCCGCCGGCTGCTGGGGCTCCGGGCTCGGGGGACCGGGAGTTGAAACACAACGTAAACAACGGTCGGGCAGTTAGCAACCAATGCAGCGGTAACAAATCGTAGGGCTTTGGTGGACCGAACAGAAATGATGGCTGTCGCAGGTCCCACCAAGGATGTGCCACCAACACACGCATGCAACATCCGTTAGAAGACTCAGCGACCGCCTAGCATTCTGCGGCTCAATATTCAGTGTTGACATGCACCCACCACCCGTGTCCTAGGCCCTCGCGCCACTGCTGCCTCCCCGTCCTCCCCGCCGCCTCCCCGTCCTCCCTCACCATGTAGGCGGGTGTGCCCGCATGTACATTCCTCGTCGACATCATCGTACGGTGCATGATCTTGGCAAGGCCGAAGTCGCACACCTTGACGTGGCCAGCTCCATCTAGCAACACGTTCTGCGGCTTCAGGTCTGTGCGGGCGAGGGGCCGGGTGGAGGTGGGGAGTCGGAACAGGCAGGGTTGCGACAACGTGCACTGGTGTACATGCCAAGACAGGATGCCCCGTTGTTGTTTTCGTTTTACACATTACGCAAACAGGTCACCTGCGATGGCTAAACTGACACAATCGTCAAGACCAGGCAGGCAGACAGACAGTGGCAGCGGCGGCAACATACAACAGCAAAAACAGCACCACCATCGACAAGCAGGAAGAAACACGAATGATACACAGGTAGCTCACCCCGATGCACAATCCGGCGCCCGTGCAGGTAGGCCATCGCGCTAGCCACCTCCAGACCGACGCGGATGACCTGGAGGGCAGGTAAGTGGGGGGAGTTGTATGATGCACGTGTCGGGGGTAACAGCGTGTGCTTATGCGGCATTGTGTGGGAGTCGAGGGTTCACCAACAGATCACCAGCGGCACTCAGTGAGGCCCTCCACGCGCCGCGCCAACCCACCTCGGCGTACGACAGGGGCGGGAACAGCTTCTCATTTCTTCCTGGCCTCTTGGCATGCAGCCGGTGGTGCAGAGAACCGCCCTGAGCCAGTTCCTGGGAGCAGGGGGGCCAGAGGGAGGGAATGGGGGAAAGCCGTGGCGGGTTCATCTGGGGTATCGCTTAATTACGTACATGTACATGTGTACATGTACATGTAGATATACATACATACATATACACCAGCAGGACCTAGCTAAGGCAAAGGCTGGTGGCAAGGTGCACGCAGCCGGTGTCGGGAGCTCCGGTAGGCGTACTGCTACACAAAGTGCAGCACACCGTTAACGTGTGGCTGGAAGAGAGGATGGGTAAGGTAAAGGGAATGTACGGCAGAACTGACTCCCAACGACAACGGGCGCACCTTCTTGGAGCCCTTCGCAGCTTGTCTGTTATTATCGCCCCCGCCCCCGCCCCCGCCCCCGCCCCCGCCCCCGTCCCCGGCCCCTCCCCAACTCCCGCCCCCGCTCCTGTCCCCGGCCCCCCAGCTGCGGTCCTCACCTCCACAATGCAGCCGAAGGGGGGCACCAGGCAGGTCCCGTAGAGCTTCACGATGTGCGGGTGGTCCAGGCTGGACAGCACCTGCGCTCAGCACTCGGGCGGCCGCAGTGCCGGAAGGGGCGACTGCAGTTGGGTGCTGTAGCAGCTCGGGGGAAGAAGAAGCTCGAGGAGAAGGGAACGGAACGAGGAAGGGGTCCTCACGAGTAAAAGGCAGGCAGCCACCCGGCTCACATGTCGGCAATGGGGGCCGACCAGGCAACAAGGCAAGGGAGCGCTGCCCTACAGGGAACTAATCGCGACCGCACATGGGGTCTCCTGCTGAGCCGCAGTCATGAAGACCAACCCGCAAGACCCGCGACAAGGCCATCAAGCAAGCAAGCTGAGAAGCACACGACGCAGCGCCCTCCCCCCCATGCACGCACCTCCGCCTCCTGACGAATGGTCTTCACCACCCGCGTCTCAAGCACCATGGTCTCATCCATCAGCTGTACCATCTTGCAGGCCACCGGCCGCCCCAGCCACGTGCCGCGGTACACGGTGCCGAACGCTCCGGAGCCCAGCTGCCCTTGCAGGACCACATCCCGGGCAAAGTCGATGGAGGCCCAGGCCACCTGGCAGTGGGGGGCCAACGTATGGCGGCACATGCACGTTTAGGACAACAGCCGCTTACAGCCCTCTCGACCTGATGGGGATGTCGGCGTCGCGGGATGAAGTTGCCCCAGACAGCATCAACGCACAGCATTGCAGTGCAATGAAGGAAATAATCTCCAAGGGGCCTCGATACTCCCTCTACTACACAACACTGACGCCAGTTCGTACCCAGGACGCCTTTCCCAGTCCCCCCCCTGTCCCCCCCGCC